TACCTACATCGTCTTTGATCAAAACTAGCACGAAATTCGAAATCAGAACCCCGAAAAAACTCCATAACAACCTCACTTTAAAAAATTAAAATAGGCCACGATTTCCCTGACTTTTAAGTCATTTACCCGAATTGAAAGGCCAACTAATGACCGGCGATTTTAAAATCGGGTAATCGGCTTCCTTTGGTTACGGGTAGGACATTCATGTTTTCGCGAAGCTACAGTTCGGTTAGGGACTGAACGATTGGGGATCCAACAGAATTCCCCCCCCCCCCAATATATGCTAGCGGCTGAAAACGCGGTCACGGAAGGGGTTTCAAAGAGCATACAAACACATAAGTCCTTAATCCTCGCCCGTACTGGTGTTTTGTCAGCCGCGAACGTATATGGGGGGGGGGGGTCCGTTGGACACCCCTTTGCCGTTCGGTCCCAGATCAATTCCCTTGGCCCTTGGTTCTTTGGTAATTTCTCGTTATTACTTTACTTACGATCATGCTGAATATATTTGTTACATCGATCTTTCTCGTACGACCAATAACGTACTCGTATTATAAAATGGATGTCACCAATCACCATCAAGTTATACGCCAAAATGTGGGTACCCATAAAACATGTCATATTACACGATATAGCCAACTTTGATTTTCGAGGATATGCTCTTACCTGGATGACCTAACCTGACCTGACATTGACCTTGACCTGACCTATGCTTAGGTGATCCCTGCTTAAATCTGACGCTTGTGTAGCACTCAGATGAAAAATTGTGCACAATCCTGGCAGAGTTTGTTACCAGAGACGCCCAGTTCGAGGTTTAAAGTCAATGCTATTAAAAGCCTAATTTCAGGTATTTGAAATAATGTTGAACCGACCTGTGACCTCGGAACTCCACTTGAAGGTACTCATCAGAAGCATCTCGTCGCGTTATTTTGTTTGCTGCCTCGCCCGTTTCGCTGCGCCTCGAGCTATGGGCTATGGGCTATGGGTTCTCGAGCTATGGGCTGGGAAAGTTTACCCCCCCCCCCTCCCACCCCCACCCAGCAAGTAGTGTGTGGCGAAATACTCAAGCAACTGCCGGGTTAACCCTCGCCCGTATTGGTGTTTTGCCAACCTCGAACGTACAGGGTGTCCCATAAGTTCGTTCTCACCTTATATTTGCATGTAAAACAGAGTACATTGCGTTTTGATATGTTTATAACCCCTCAATGTGCTCCCCATTTCATAGGCAAACACATGAATACATGCTGCGACATGCCAACTGGCATGTTTGGCAGCATAGCAGGCTTGAAGTTAGCCCAGACTGACTTGGCATGCGCCGTGAGCTCCTCAATGCTGAAACACCGCTTCGCTTCGACGAGCCTCGATTTCTATATTCCCAACACATTTTTATGAAATTTGGATCCGATGAGTTGGCTGGGATGTGATCTTACCACACACGCCTATCACAGTCTCCTGGCACTGCTTCTAAGCTTTGCTTGACCTGTGCACTGATGCACTGTCGTGCTTGAAGATGAGACTACGACCTCCCGGATGCCATTTTCTCCTAAAAAGATGTGGTCATACTTGCGGTTCGAGTTAAGCTAGAAAGCTGAAACTCCTACTAGATCTTCTTGGAGAAGCATTCTGCGTCCCAAGACTGTTTCTGGAGTATCAATCGCATTGTGCATCAGCGTCTGGACGCATATTACCCCACTTTACCGTGACCCTGGCCTTTTGCATAGGAATAAAGCGGGATGACAAAAAAGCCTTTTACGTCGCCCATATGGGACCGATTTGGGGTTTGCACCGGTGGTTTATCTCGAGCACGGACTAGGTAGTCCAGATGACCACATTGATGTCATCGGCCCTTCAGTTTTTTTAGCCTCAGGCATAACGAAACACATGTTTGGCCATTTTAAGACGTTTTTGACTGTTTTGAGCCCTCCGGTAAGTAGAGCTTAAGTCACCTTGAGTTAGGTACCCCGAAATGATACTCTTAGACAGCTGGTAATGCATCCTGAAAAGCCTGTTTACCAACTTGCTAACGCTAAGACCTTTTTGACGGCCATTTTGGCGCCACACAGTTTTGGCCACATGGCTCACTCGTGAAAGCTGACAAAAAAGAGCGTAAACTTTCAGCGATTGACTCCCGACAAATCATCGGCGTCACTTGTTGACTGTGCGTCCAGTTAGCGACAGACATTGGCTACATACTGGATGGCCTCAATCACCCTCAACCGTCGTGAATGGCCCAGTGTGGACTAAATACCGAGACGTTCCCGTGTCGGAGACCTCTATGTTGTGGCGTAAGCCGTCTCCACAGGAAGTGAACTCTCTGGCAAAAAATATTTTGTCTAGACGAATTAGTTACCGTGGAGCACATTCACAGTTGCCATGGCAACCCCAAAAGCTCAGTTACAAAATAAATTAAGCGTGGCTTTAAATAAGAGAGCCTCTAAAAGAAAAATTTAGGTGAGAAGGAACTTATGGGACACCCTGTATAGGGGGGGGGGGGTCCGTTGGACCGCCCCCCCTTGCCGTTTGGCCCCTGATCGAGCTAGAGCTTCGAGAAAAAAAAACAAGCGTGCTGCTCGTGACGAGAGGAAGCCGGGGTGATACCCAATTTTAAGGTCCTAGGTCATTGGTTGACTTTCCAGGTCAGGTCAATGACCCACATGTCTGGAAAATCGGGACCTGTTAGGACATCGTAAAGTGAGGTTGATAAGGGGTTTTTCGGGGTGCTGATCACAAATTTCATGTTAGTTTTGATCACAGATGATGTATTAACCCTCGCCGGCACAGGGGGGGTTGATGCAACCCCCCCCTAAGGTTTTTCGCGAATAACTCACGTAAAAAGCGGCTGATCGCGACGGAACTTTCAGTACCCTCGCATTGATCAATTTTACGCCTACCCTGAAAATTTCATGACCCTGACCCAAATGACCTTTGACCTGTGACCTCTTTTCCGAGACCATGTTTGGCCGGAATCGCGATTCGGCGTATGTCGGCTCGCATTAGCCGCGCGTTTGCAAGCTTTTCGTGGTTTCAAACGTTCAAACATGTGATTTGATGTTGCTCCCATACATTAGGGTGGGTGTCAAGGTCACCTGAAGGTCAGGTCAGGTCATTGACCTTTGCTGACCTCGGGTGACCTCGGTTCACTTTTTCGACTTTTACATGTTTCTAGGCTAGTTGTTGGAGCTGAATTCGAATTTAGCAACCATTTGAACATTTACGAAGTAGTTTTGGTGCCTTCGTAACATGTTACGAAGCTGTCAGAGGCGGTTGACACGTATTACGAATACCCGTCACAACCCCTACCGGTTGACCTGACCTGACCTGACCCAACCTGGTCTAAATGCTTGAAGACATCATTTCTGATCAAAACTAACACGATATTCGTGATCAGCACCCCGGAAAACCACATAGCAGCCACACTTTACGACTTTCTAACAGGTCCCGATTTTCCCGGTTTTCGGGTCATTGACCTGACCTGGAAGGTCACCCGATGACCTAGTACCTTAAAATTGGGTATCATCGGCTTCTTCTCGTGACGGGAAACACGCTCGTTTTTCCGCGAAGCTCTAGCTCGATCAGGGGCCAAACGCGAGGGGGGCCGTACCACCCCCCCCCCCTTGTGCCGTCGAAGGACGCAAAATGGCCTGTGCCGGCGAGGGTTAATGCATTTAGGCCAGGTCAGGTCAGGTCAGGTCAGGCCAACCAGTAGACGTCCTGCCAGGTATTCATAGTACGTGTCAACCGTTACTGACAGCTTCGTACCATGTTACGAAGACACCAAAACAACTTCGTAAATGTTCAAATGGTTGCTTAATTCGAAATCAGCTCCAAAAAGTAGCCCATAAACATGTAAAACTCGAAGAAGTGAACCTAGGTCATCAAAGGTCAATGACCTGACCTGACCTTCAGGTGACCTTGACACCCACCATAATGCATGGGACCAACATCATATCACATTTTTGAATGCTTGAAACCGCAAAAAATACTGCAAACTCGCGTCTAATACGAGCCGACATACGCCGAATCGCGATTCCGGCCAAACATGGTCTCGAAAAATAGGCCACAGGTCAAGGTTCATTTGGGACAGGGTCATGAAATTTTAAGGGTAGGTGTACAATTGATTGACTCGACAGTACTGAAAGTTTCATCGCGATCGATCGCTTTTTACGCGAGTTATTCGCGAAAAACCATGGGGGTGGGGGTCCGTTCGACCCCCCCCCCCCTATATGGGCGAGGGTTAAGTCATTTAAATTTCTTTTGCAGTTTTCAATTTAATTTACGAATTATGTTCCGGCAGCTATGGTCAAAATAAACAGAATGCAGCTCAATGTACTAAGCGCCACTCCGTTCTCCGGCCCGCAGAGAGCGGGAATGTAAGTCAGGCACGGCCTTGGACGTTTCCTCTGGGGCCGCGCCGTCTGCCGAGGGAGGGGAGACCTTGCCCAGTCTGAGGGAGGGGGACGACGGCGCCACCGGGACGCCCCGTCGCTCCGAGACCGGCGCTCACTGTATAAACAAGCAAAAAACGCTGGCCGTGCAAAGCTTGGCTATGCTTTGACAGAGGAGACATCTAGCGGAATATTTCGTAACTACGCAAACTTCTAACAAAGATGTCGCTTGAAGCGCAGTTGAGATTGTAGGTTTTGATCCAACTGAAAATTGACATCTCAAGGACGACGAAATGATGTAAATTTATATGAAATGGTTTTGTATGATGCGTACTTTGATTAATGCCATTAATTTTCCACTGCCTTTTTGTGTGAAACGATTTTGTACCTTGCGATTTTGTATGACACAATTTTGTATGCTGCGCTTTTGTATGTTTTGGCTGTCCCCTACCCGGCCTGTTTTGTAGGTTTTGCGCGTTGTATGTTACGATTCTGTATGTTTTGATGATTGTATGATAAGATTTTGTATGCTTTGATATGGAGCCGTTCGAGACAAATGCTTGTTTTAAACAGGCGACAGCGATTCATGCAAATACAAGAACCTTCATACCCCCTCAGGTGAACCGTATCGCTCGACGTCGCCGTGAAAAGTACGACCGCGGCCTGGTCAGCCGGCGTCAGCTGATGAGGGTATTGGGCAACATGACCCGGCTGCTGGTCAGGGCCAAGTACCACAGCGACCAGATTGAGGGAGGGTGAGTGAACAGCGACTAAGACCTCCCCTACCAGTAGATGGTGCAGAATGATATGGGAAAACTGATAACCATGTACCTTGATTCTTGGTTTTGTGTTAGTTAGTGATTCAAAATACAGCAGAACTAGTAAAGGTGCTATAAATATAACTGGGAAACTATATTTTGTGTTTCATATGAATGAACACTTTTTCCAAATTAGGCAGTAAAGAGCACATAAATATACGTATAACGTATAAGCACGAGAATAAGCCCCCTGAGTGACCCGACCTGCCCGTTCTTCCTCACAGCCTGCACGACTTTGTTCTGAAGATCGCGTCGGAGAGTTCCATCAGCTCGGAGCGCACCACCTCTGTGGAGCAGTGCGACTGTCCTCCGGGCTACGCGGGCCTCTCGTGCGAGCTGTGTGACTTCGGGTACCGGCGGCTGAACGGCACGCTTTTCAGGGGCGAGTGTGTGCCGTGCGACTGTCACGGGCACGCCGCCGACTGCGACCCCTACACCGGACAGTGTAGCGTGAGTAGGGGGAATGAAGGAGGATAGGAGAGAGAGAGAGAGAGAGAGAGAGAGAGAGAGAGAGAGAGAGAGAGAGAGAGAGAGAGAGAGAGAGAGAGACGTGGAGACAAGCCCTTCCGGAGGAGGGAATGAATTTTATTACTGTTTCGAGTTAGTAGCGAGAAGCATAAGTGGACAATAAGCTGTTGATAATTGAATGACTTTTCATACAGATATATTGTATGAAAACTCATTCAATCACTGAAAAAGTATGCTTTTCAATATTCATGTCGATTCGTGAATGATGAACATAGGGGGCTTTAGATGAACTGATTCGTGTATATGTACTGTATAAGTCTTGCCTTCGAGGGAACAAAGGCGGCTTTGTTGCACCACATTTCAAGTGCATATGCTATCGGGGGATGGTAAGTGCCACTCCTGATCACCACATTGTAGCACATGGGTACGTACTGTGTTGTATGCATGCAACGATGCAGGGAAGTACCTTCTTCAATTGACTCATCAGCACACGTTTAAGTTTACTTTTGTTGGTATTGTGATTAGATACTTGCCGGAATATGAAGACGTTTTCGTTTAGCTAGTCGCGGTAGGCATTATATGTCATTGCCTTGTAAACACAAATAGCATATTGAATCTATCTGTATCTCCTTTCGTCTCCTCAGGAGTGTTTGCACAACACAGTTGGGGACAACTGTGAGCTGTGTGCCCCCGGTTACTATGGTGAAGCCGTGCGGGGCACTGCGGACGCCTGCCGGCCGTGCGCCTGCCCCACGGAGGCAGGGGAGGGCGGACTGTCGGCCTCCTGTCTGACCGAGCCCGGAGGGGAGGACTACGTGTGCACCGCCTGTCCGCCAGGACACGAGGGCAAACACTGCGAACGGTGAGAAAACTAACGGCGCGATCGGCTTCTTATGATTTTGAAACATTCTATTCCCAGCAATTTCTTATCCTAGCCACCAATACGATGTCTATCATTCGGCGCCGAATGTGTCGATTACGATAAGCTAGGAGTACCGCATCGTCATCTTCTAGCGCTACGTTAAACTTTCGGTCCAAGCCTACACCATTAACCCGGTCGGGTAGGATGGTCAGATTCGAGACCGGTAAATAGTGTATCGATGATTATATTTTATACCTCGTTGAAAGCTGGAAGCGAATTTGTAAATCTCCTGAACCCTTCAAAATTGTTTTTCGTCCCATTCGGCAACAAGGATCTCGTCTCACAAATGTCTCGTTGAATTATTTACTGCCCAATTCTGATCGTGACAACCGTGTTGACGCATTTTCTTCTTGCAAACAGATGACTAATTGGAATGTCTTTATTGCCACAGTAACGAGAATATGTCACAGTAACGAGATTATCGTAACGAGGCACCTATAAATCTACTCTGGTATAATCCACATTTTTACCCGGCACATGTTTATCTCTTCACCTGTCGTCTCACTTCCCTCCCTGCTATCTCCGAGGGTCATCTCTCCTAACACAGCCCCCTGACCCGACGTCCCTTTGTCCCCAGGTGCGGCGCCGGTCACTACGGCTCGCCGCTGACCCCGGGCGGCTCGTGCCGGCCCTGCGACTGTAGCGGCATGGCTGACCTCTCTGACCCCGAGGCCTGTGACCCGCTGACCGGAGAGTGCCTCCTGTGTCAGGGCCACACGGCCGGATGGCACTGTGAGGTCTGCCAGGACGGATTCTATGCAGACGCTGACACCGGACTGTGTCGACGTGAGTGAAAGTGGAATGTCATGGTTGTGATGGCATTGCCATGCTTTAGTGATAATGTGTTTCTGTGGTTGGTTTATATGTATAAAAAAACATTTATTTGTATACTTATATTGACATTTTGCAGCAAACTATACGAGACCTGTCAAAGGATCATGCTTTTTTAAATTAAATCACGGTAAAATGAATTTTTAGCAGCAGCTAAAAACAAAAAAAAAAAAACTCAAATATATCAAGGAAGGTCATGAAATTAGAGACTGCTGTTGGCGTAAGCTAATCTTGTGTTTGTTACGTTTTCAGCCTGCGAGTGCGGCATGTTTGGCTCTACGAGCCCGATCTGTGACCAGGAGACGGGCCAGTGCTCCTGCAAGGAGCTGTTTGTCGGCACCAAGTGCGACCGCTGTCAGGTCAGTCCTAAACGACACGCCATGAATGGGGGAAACACGGGTAGCTGCTTCAACGATAAAGTAGATCGACCCGACTACTAGCAGCCTGTTAACTCTTGCTCGACAAATAATAGCTGAGCGTCAGAAGATCAAGCATACCATATGCTGTGACGCATTTACAATCTACCAAGCTGCACAGCTGCACACTCAAAATTAAGTGTTCTGTCTTGACCCCTTCGTGCTAAGCGTTTGATGTATGAAATATTTAATTGTGCACGTCCTTTCCAGAACCGCGGCGGTAACATCGAGGCCGACTGCCTGGAGTGTTTTTGTGACCTGGCGGGCAGTCTGGGTCCGCTCTGTGACCCCAGCTCGGGTCAGTGTCAGTGTCGGGCCGGTGTCACCGGTGTCAACTGCACCGAGTGTCTGCCCGAGCACTACGGGTTCGGCCAGGACGAGGGCTGCGTCGGTGAGTACCTCAAGGGCGTGTGGTGGTGGGATGAGTGTCAGATAGAGGTGAGAAATAGACGGATGTGTCAGATAGTAGTGACAAAGTGATAAAGCTGTCGTGATATGAGGCGGGGGTGTATGTCAATTCAATATGAGTGATATGAGGCGGGGGTGTATGTCAATTCAACGGAACATGGTGATGTCATTAAAGGTGTCCTGATACGGCTTCGGAGCAAATGTCTCAAATAATCTGAAGCTTGGTCTTAGTAAAAGGTTTACAGTCGATAAAACGCTTCAGCGAGCGTCGAGCGAAGTTCCTTTTCTGACGGAGAAAAGATAAGGAACTCCCGAATAGCTCAACAAGTACGTTAGAAACTTACAAATGACGAAGTTTCCTAAATTACTGCGACGTATTTTTTAGTACGGTGGTTGCAGGCTGTGGCCTAAGTTTATTTGTGAAAGTCGGTACCTTTTGATCCCAAACTTCTCCGGTCAATTTTTCAGTACCAGAGCGATTTATATGCATGCAAGCCATCTTTATCCCATCCAAGCTGGCGACTGCTTTAATCTCATGCAACAACAAATTGCGATGCTGAATTAGCCCGATTTATTCGCTGCTCGCTCGGCTGCATCTGAAGGAAGCTTGAAGACGTTCAGACGAGCCTCAGCTACTACTTCTTTTATTTAGCGTGTTGATGATACGCCAGGCTATCATGCATTCCGCCACCTGCGATTATTTGGCATGAGTCTCGCATTAGGGCGGCACAGCCAGGTAGCACTCCATCACTGGCTTCCTGTCTCAAATGACCGCACCATGTTCTTTATTTATTCCCACCCGGCTACTCGGGTCGGTGACGACCAGTAGTCACGCGATCAGGGCGCCGAGCAATGCTCATCCCTCGAGAGCAGACAGAGCCGTGCCGGGGAATTTGTCCGTGTTCGTGAATGTACGCTCACAATTAGCGGCTCTGTATCCAGTCAGTCACACTCCAGTTCCACACAATAGGTCCGGGTCGGACAGCGGACCGCATACGTCGACCCCATCGAAGGAATGTGGGACGGGAGCACTCCGCTCGCCGCCTTTGCCTCCATTGACCCCTGGCCACAGCTCGGGGGTACGAGGGATAGCCCACCACACGTGCAGAGAGCACTCCTCTCGCCGCCCGGCTGTCCCTGCAGGTTGCACCGGGGTACGACCTGCCCGCCGCGCGTGGTGACCACAGCTCAGGAGTCTGACTTCCCCGCCGCGCGTGCAGGAAAGCGCTCGGTGACATCCTTTCAGCCGCTTAGAATAGGATTATCCTTTGTGGTAAACCACCTACGTGTGTTGGCTCCAGCCACAGGACTAGTTGGGTGGATCTGTGTGTACTGTGTACTATGAGGTGAAAGGGTCGTGGATTGGCGGGATTCTGGCCCAAGTCGGGCTTTGCAGGAGCTGAGTAGATTGTAGGAATTTGAGTTCCGTGAGAAAAGAGATTCTATGGGATGTTTGGAGTAGTCCACTTTGCGTCATATGCCAACTAGTACTTTCATATACTTACTCATAGTCTCGTACTTTGCAGGGTGCCACAAAGCAGGATTACAATATATTCTTTTGAGATTAGACTTTCTAAGTGCGTGTTGCGTAGCACGCGTGAGTGAGTGACGACATCTCAGCAGTGTGGGTCTCGATGTGTTCGCACAGTACAACTTTCGGTTGCATGATGCATCGCGCCCATTTCAACGTATGGGTAGTTCTAGTAGACAATGGGTCAGAGAATGAACTTTGCGACTAGTGACTAACGTACCTACTCCAAGAGTTTGCACAAGATGCATTCCTCCAGCTGTCGTCTCTGCATATATTACGTCGTTCTGTATCCGTCAGATGACTATCTGGACAGCCATGGAGCAACGTCTTGTCAGGCGTCAGGCACTACAGATCTCAATAAATCAAGCGTACCTACATTTCCCATCGCTCTGAAACCTCTACGGAGCAGTCAAATTGTGAAACACTTGTGGAGTGAAAGTTGCGTTTTCCGAAGTTCAGAAACGTGTCCACTATAGGGTCGTGCCTGGCATATTCAACTCACATCTATTTAACTTGCGAGCGATGACAATGCTATCTCATCTCCAAAGCGCTACCTCATCATCTCCAACAGCGGAAGATGATCCTTTGATTTAGTCTCCCAGACATTACCGCACCTAAGACCGGGGGAGGGGGAGGAACGACCTTGACATCGACAATGTCTAGCGGTCGCGTTATATTATCGGCACTTGGAGATTGATGGCTGGCGCCCACACTTATCGGCCACGGAATCAGAATAATCCGCCGCCTGGCGGCCAGAGAGATATCGCCGTCTGCCGGTGACGGCTAAGTAAGTGTGTATGTTTGTCAGTCTGTCTGCCTTTCTAGGTGAAGTAACTAAAAAATCGACCGCACCTTTCTTTCGATTAGATAAATCTCAGCATGGCTGTAGATGACATTTCAGTGAATAGCACTGACATTCCTTCTAGTGGGAGTTGACAGACAGACCATATCGAGTATCGACGCATATTTTTTTGTGCGGGCGCTCTCTGATCTCATAGTTCTAAGTGCCTAAAACGCCGTCTGTCCTCTTTGACGGCATGACCTCACGTTGTCACAAGCTAAAACTGCACAGACTCACCACCGTTTGTGGCAGTTTGCTGTTTGACAGTTTTTTATTGACCCGTCGTTTTTGGAGGTCCGGTTGGCTTGGCTGGTTCTGGTTCGATTGGAACCCATTATTGGTATGAAGTGAGCTTTTATTAAATTGATAAGAAACGGTCATTTCGACATGAATGTTGCGTCATCGTTGCAGAAGCGGTCATCGCTGTCAGACCCAATAATGATACTGGTGCCGATAGCTCACCTAAGTGTTCTACATAATAAAAAATATAGCTTTAGACAAGTCAGCGATCATTTTATATTTACCACTCGTAAGCCACGCTTAATCATGCCGTTTATTGCTAAGCAGTTGAGAATAAATGCCATGGGGTTAATGTATCTCGAATCACAAATGTTCCCCTCCTACCAACTACCTGAACCTCCCACAAACAAAGCGGTCGGCGTATCATTCGAACTGGCTGCGCTTCATGGTCCGGTGCCATTTCATGGCTCCTGTGGCTAATACCCCATGGCCCGCCTATCCCCTCCCCCACCCCACCCCCGCCGCAGCAGTGCCCGGCTGAGCTGACGGTCAGCAGGGGGAGGAGGGGGGAGGGGTGCAGCAGTCAGCGCGCTGCCGCTGCCGGCGCGGCGGACCCCGCGGCCGACCGGCAGTGGGCGGCGGGGAGCGGCGGGCGGCGGGCGGTTCGGCGCGGCGGTGGACGGTGGGCGGTGCGCAGTGCTGGTGGGCGGTGCGCCTGTTGACATGGTGACACCCGAGAGGCTGTCGTTACCAGCGCGGTGGTGGTGATTTCCGTGTTGGTGGAACCGGAAGCGAGCTCCACAACTGTGGCCAAACGGCGAGGACCAGCGACCGACCACCACCGGATGAATTATCGTTCAGCGGCTGTGATTTGGCATTGGGCCTTCAGACGGCCTTATGCAGTGACCTTCTCTGATTAAAGAATAGTGAGGCGCCCGCCGCTGACCCCTCAGGCTGCTGCAGTGATTGCGCTCGCCCCTCCCTGCCTGCTCGGTGGATGGTGGGAGTGGCCGACAGCCGGCGCACGTGGTTGGCGATCAGTGGTCACTGGACAGTGGACAGTGGTCGGTGGATAGTAGACAGCAGCGAGCGGAAGACTATGGATTCAGTGTGGACGGCTGTCATCGGCTGGCGATCGGATAGTGACAGGCGGTAGGCATTACTAAACAGACAGAGAACAGTGAACGGGTTACTTCAGCCGGTGGAGAGTGGTCATTAGTCAATATTCAGCGGTCAGTAGACGGTGGACCGCGGTCGGTGGTCAGGAGTCTATGGATATTGGACTGTGGACAGTGGTCAGCGATCAGTAGCCGGTGGTCCGTGGACTGCCGTGCCTGACTTCTGCGGCCGGTAGTCGGCGGTCGGCGGTGCTAGACCGCAGTCCATTCATAGCCGGGCCTCGACCGTCGGCTATCGCCGGAAATCTGCAGGTACCTCCCGTCCAGACCTCCGAGCTCGCGCTGCAGACGTCTGACGACTGTGCAGGGAGACCGGCAGTGCCGCGGCCTTGCGTCCGGTGTCTGGTGTTACTCGTGCTAGTGGTGCCGCTGGTGCCGCAGACAGACAGACCATGTGGCGGACACGAGTGGTGCTGGTGTTGTGTTTGACCTTGGCCGCACCAACCTGGACCCAGTACCTGCGCTCGCCAAACCGAGACATCTACCAGAGCTGGCTGGGACTGAAATACGGTGAGTTGTGAGCCACACACGACCCCAAACTGAGCCCATTCATGCAAACGTGCACGGTCGAACAAAACGCCTGCACCCCTGCGCCCACACTAGCATCACCGACCTCCCCATGAATCACCGCGTAAACCCAAATACGTCCGCGGTCTCTACTCGTCTGAATTTTTACGCAGGCCCGGCCGAGTGTTCCGCCTTCTCGGGCCGCCCTCTCGGGGCGCCGATAGACCCGCTGTGACCGTGACTGGCGGCGCGGGACTCAATGGACTCCTGATGACGGCAGCGACCAAGTGCTGTTGCAGACCGATGATTGATTTCGTCTGCCGGCAGCGTCCGGTGGGCTGTTTTCAAACGGGCGCCATGACCGGCCGTTCGGCTCACTATCGGCAGGGTGGTAGCCGATCAGACTGCTGTCCCAGACGTCTGCCGGTGTCGGCCGACTGATATCAGACCCAGAGATCAAAGATCGCACTGTGAGACCGTGCTGGGATCTTATATCATGACACTGGTAGGCGTCAGCGCCGTGGAGGCTCGATCGGATTTTATTGGCATCGAAACCAGGAAATGATATTTTTGTAACCTCGATGTTGTGATTTAGCTGATATTTACGTTCGGGATATTTGTGGGAAGTATTTGGCCATGACCTCGTCATGAACGCCAAGCAAACATGCATCTTTCAAGTTCCAAATGATGCATCAAAATAGCGATAAAATAGCATCGATGGTTTACATTCTCGCTATCCCGGGACCCGGATCCCATGGGATCCGGGATAGCGAGGTGGAGAAGAAATTGATCGCAGTCACTTTCTACTCCAACTTGGACAAATAGCGTCACCATTATCATTCTTGGTATGACAGCGAGACCCTATATTCCAGACATATTCTAGTCCATAATCCTCAACTCGGTCAGAATACATAATCATCGGCAGCTTTGATGTATGACTCGCAGCTCTGATTTGTAAGCTCATGCCATCCTTTTATTTGGCAGGAGCCTCATGACCCGCACGATGTTTCGTTTAGTCTCAACCATATAGTTTTTTCACTTGTGGTATAAAGTGGTCGCAGACCGACAGCTTCACGAATTGCAGGTTGTCAATGCTGACACACGCGAATCGTCTCCCTGCTGATGCTGATCCTGATGAATGATGTCTCCGCATGCAGCACGCATGTCGCATATGCGTGTTTCACCATACGCATATGCGTCCTGCATGCAGCAATCGTGCCGTTTGCTACTTGTCTCTACCAATAAGGTTCTGGACAACGCGTCATTTTAATTTCTATTCCCGTCCCTCTACCCTCCCGTACCGACCCTTCCCTCCTTTCCTCTCCTCCAGACTTGTTCCCGTGCTCTACCGGTCGTCGCTCGCTGAATTCTCAAGTCTCAACTACCATCCCCTTCCGCGCGTGGGGTCAAGACACGATCTGGTCCGTCCCAATATGTAGTGCGCTGGGCTGGGTCACGCTCGAGCGATTGATCGTTCGCGGAGGCACGACTCAATTCGAGTCGGCGGACTCACGCGGCCGACCGGTGCTTCATATTCCGCACCTGAGACCCTCCCCCGTCCCTCCGACCGGGCGCTGACCCACGCAGAGAGGTTGGGCGGTGTCGGTGATGAGTGACGGTGGGTTGGAGACCGTACTGGCAATGAGCGGCTATTCAGTGCGGGAGGATCTGGTCGGGCACCCCACGGAGCACACTGGGGGTACACTATGGTGGTGATTTGTGGGATTTGGGGCATTGTTCGCGGGTGTTCGATCTCGAGTCAGGATGGTGACAATCAGTCTCGAGGGGTCGAAGACACTGACGTAGAAAGTTTGCCATCAACAACCAATCAATAGATACGGTTCCAGCCCTCAACTCAAACCTTAGAATTGGTCAACTCCTCAACATGGCGGAGCTGAATGCTGATGCGGTATTCTTAATTCTTATTTTTGCCCAGCTGAGCTGTTCGGTCGCATTACGAGCTAGTTCTCGGGACATACCTAGCGGGGTTCGGCATTATGAGCTGGGTTTTTGGCCTTACCGCCGCCTACAGCACACCCAGTCAGGAAGAGACGCACGAGCCCGGTAATGTCGGCACCTCAGTGACCGCCTTTCCGCCTCTGTCATCAGTCAGAGCTGCATGGTTCTCAGCCACCCGTGTGCGGAGCTGCGCCGGACATTTGAATACAATGGAAGTGTGTTGACGAATGTCCCGGGTCAGTCGAGGTGGGCGAGAGATTGTGGAGACTGTATACCGCGCCGGACGTACACAACTAGCAGAGGGGGATGAGAGCTTGTCGAGCTGTAACGAGGTATTCATCAGCCTGGGCGGCACCGTATCATTGTGCTTACGCTCGGAGAAATATGAAAGGCAAAAAAAAACAGAAACTCCCCTTGCTTGTGTTTCACTCCCTGAAAAATGCGTTGTTTGTACAGTGCTTCTGTTGCTTTATGCTTCATCTCTTTCGTGATGCTTCTGCAGACAGCAGTTAAACGAAATGTCTTCTTTTTTTGTTACAAATCCGAAATCTCTCCATATAACACGACATATATACGGCTTTATTTTATGAGAGACGAGGCTGCCGCACATCTCGTGCATTGCACTTCCGTCTGCCCCAGTTTTCTGCTATCCGGCTCAGTGGACGTTTTACATCCGGCGTCCGGCGTGATGCCAGGCCCACATGGCTCCTTATCCTGCCTACGCATGCGCTGTGCACTGTGGGCTGCCCATGGAGTTCCCCTAGCATGCAGATTGTTGTGGGACCAGTCGCCTGGCTTGCATTACGTGTCTTTACACTCTGTCGCACTGCGAATCAGCCTTCTCGGCCGCAATGTGTGCAATTTGATGCTCGTTCTCCGAGCATTTCATCATTTGTGCCGTATTTAATTTTCCTTCCTCCAGTACTCCAACATTCCCATACCGATTCCCTGCATCGCACCCTTTTCACCTCGTCTCCGCATCGCGGTGCCTTATCAGTTTATCACGTACCTACCCCGCAACCCCGATCCGGTATCAAGTACCTATCGTATGCAAACCCGTCCTCAAAACTCGTATACGGTATCCTGCGGCTGGTAACCCAACTCTCATCTCCCGTATTGACCCGGATATCTAATGTCCCCGTCACATCGATATGCTATGCGTGACACACACGTGCGATTTCAGAGCAACTAATCCCTCTCCGTTTCTTCAGCCCACAATCTTTCGTGTCCCGTGAGTTCTATGGCCTGTGAATTTCCGCATGCAAAATTTCCCAATTCCCGGATCCCCATCGGATAATAAAGACGTCCTGGACCTCCAAGCCAGTATCTCTATACCTGAATCCCACAGATCGCATCCAACACTCCCGTCCCGAGTCCCACACTCCCGTCCCGAGTCTCACACTCCCGTCCCGAGTCCCACACCTGTCCCGAGTCCCACCTGTGGGAGGGCCGGCCCGCCCGCCGCGCGCTGCGCCAGCGCCGGTGCATAACTCATTAGTTGAGCGGCTGTATCGCAGTTGCGGCCGCGCTCGCCTCGCTGGCGGTGGCATGCGCGCGGGTGTGCCGCGTGCGAGGTCGGCTGGGCTGGAGAGAGAGAACACCTTGGTGGAGGGTGGTGGTGACCTCACACAGCGGCAGAAACAGCGAGCCGCACACGGTGATTGTATCACTGAGCTGGGAACCACCAATGTACCGATTGAGCTCATATGGTGCTGATAAGCATTTGTGATCATCAACGAAGATTGCGCTGATAAGCCTCTGTGGTGCAGATATGCTGATATGCAGTACTGATGCCGACAAATTTTCCACTGGGATCGATGACTATGAGGCTGGCTCAGTAGGATACTCTTATCCAAAAGCATCCTATGGAGATATAATTCTAACGAACCTATATGGTACCGATACCGCCGAATATCGCACGGTTACAGTACCGGCGTCATGACAGGGTACCGACTCTGGCCAGATCTTGGACACGTTACCCGATCCCTGCGACCCCACACCGCGGCGCCGGCATTGTATTACCGCACCGTCGGACCCTCTGAGCGTAACGCACGTCCATTCCAGAGCTCCGCACGTCCATTCCAGAGCTGCGCCGAACGAGGTCGGTTATCGGAGATCTGTGGCGGAGATAGGGCCTGGAGTTGCATGAATGGAGCTGAAGTATGCATAGGTTAGACAATATTGGATTGGATTTCGTGAGGCGAGATAAGAATCATTGACCGCGTGCGGGCGTCTTGTCAGGGGTTAGATTCCATTGTGTCTGCTCTAAGTAAAGACGTATCATGCTTAACCTAGAAAGGAGAGCAGCTAAGTAATCATAACAAGCACATTTTAAGTGTTCAACATCGGCCGTTTTTAATGGGGCTTCACATTTATGATAGAGGCACGTTGCCGTTACCGACACAAGGCTGATTTTCACGTGTCAGCACGTGCCCTCACGGCCGATCCGCCGCTCTCTGACCCGTGCCGCCGGTGTCAGGTGTGTCGGACCCGGTGTCAGGTGTCGGCCGGCCGGCCGGGCGTCCGGTGCACATGAATCACGACTCTCTGGCCACCTCTGCCCCCCCCCCCCCCGCCGAGGGGATAGGGAGGATGGGGAGGGAGCTTCAACACCTGAGCCGTTCGCCGGCACCCGAGCCGGTATCGGCGTGTGCGCCACCGCGGCGCCGCCGGCACAGTATACCCCCGCCCCAGCCCCTTGTCCCGACCCGGTCTACTGACACAGTGGGCTGCGGTGGGCGGCGCCTCTACCAATAACTAGTGGACGAGGGACAACATAGGAAGGATCGTGTACTTTGGAAATTGGCATAATAAGAAGTTGTAAATAAGGAGTCTTTCCTGCACTCCGCAGTGACATCTGGCCTTGGACAGAAGTCAGATAAATAGCATGGCATTTGAAGCTCAATAATGACGAAATGAATGAATGAATGAATGAACGAAATCCTCCAATGAATTACCTGGGTACAGCAAATGTAATATGGGCGATCAGTGACACCCACGGGCGGACCCACCCATGCCCCCTCTGTCTCAGGCTGACTCCCCCGCCCCCTCCCCTGTCGTCAGGGTGTCGGTGCAACAAGCTGGGCTCCACGGACAGCACGTGTGACATCATCACCGGCGCCTGCACCTGCAAACCGGGCGTGGTCGGACAGCAGTGCGACCGCTGTCAGGTGAGCAATGAGAGCGCTTGCATGGCAGGGGAGGACTGTTACCGTTGTCGGTAAGCACTGTAGTGATGAACAGGTGCTGACTGTGGTAGATATGCAAGGACTGATGCGATTGGTGATGCTGATTGAGATCACCTTCAGGTGAGAGCTGTAACCACTGGCAAGCAAAAAATATCTTATCAAGTACGGACTGTGGTAACAGTCATAGGAATTTACTCTGAGTGAAATACCTGTTGGGTAACGGACTGTCAAATCTACCATTAATCCAGACAGAAAGTGTGGCTGCTGTTTCCTCCAACGTTCTATCATAACAAATATTCGGTACCGGCATGTGATAGCAAATAATCGTCGGCAACTATTAACGAATAGGATACCACCCAGTCTACCGATTCACAATTCCATGAAAGCTGACTGTAGTCTGTACGGACCATGCTCAAATGCGGTGAATCAGCGCCTTCCGTCACCCGTTAGCGAGTCAGCAGGACGTTATCTGTCTGATCTGCGGTCCGGGGACTCAGACGGTGGATCGATTTATGGTTCCCGATATACACTCGGTGAGAACCGGACACCGTATTGACTGCTGTGGACTTATATCATCGGTTTATGACCGTGACTTATTGTGACCCTGTGTGGCTAGGCATGCCTAGCTGTTGCCACTAAGGCCCACTGCGATCTAGTGCGTCCCGCTACTTTTGTAAAGATGACAGTGACCCTCTGTAACCTCAGGAGGGCTCTTTGGCCTATAGAGTCGGGCGCCGGCTGCTGACCGGCGACTGTGAGTGTAACTGTGACCTGTTGTGACCCTGTATGACCCTTTGTGACCTCAGGAGGGCTACTTTGGCCTGGAGTCGGGCGCCGACTGCCGACCTTGTGACCTGGACCCCCTGTGACCTGTTGTGACCTTCTGTGACCTGCTGTGTGACCTCAGGAGGGCTACTTTGGCCTGGAGTCGGGCGCCGGCTGCCGGCCGTGCGATTGTGACCCGGAGGGCTCGTCGCCAGCTGTCTGTGACTCGGTGACGGGTCGGTGCCGCTGTAAGCCAGGAGTCGGAGGGGAGCGGTGCACCTCCTGTCTGCCGGGCTACTTCCAGCTGGCCGCCGGGGGCTGCCAGGGTGAGAGCCGAGACTTCAGGGGAACGGATGGGTTTATAGATGAATCCATTTTAGTCGAAGGGAATAAGGGGTAAAATGAGGACGATTTGTTGTTAAAAAATGTAACCTTAAATTAAAACTCACATTTGACTAAATTTGAATTAGTTTCCTTAGTCGGTATTACTTCCTGATATTACCTGTTACGCTAGTGTCTTAGTTATTTTTCGTTTTCGGTCGAGCTATCTCTTCTGAGAAATATGGGCAATTATTCATTTGTAACCGATAATTTTGGCTCACATCCGAGCACACAAAGACCGATTCAACCCGCTTAGATGTTGCCAGCTGCTCAGAGGCCCGACTGTGAACTCTGCTGTGTGTTTGCTTATGTAGCGCCGAACCATCGAGCAGTCTCCCATGAGCGTGCGCGCGGTGTCGACTCTGTTACAGCCGGCCTCCTTAGTGCGGCCGCCGCTGTCACCCCGTGTTTTCACGTTATAATAAACAGAGTGTCACTGTACGTCCCCACACCGTCAGTCTCATAAACAGACCTATCACGGTCCATCGCCCACCGGCCGGCCCGTGTTGACGGGGCACTCCCCGTGCCCCGGTCATCGCCTTATGACTCCGGACTGCCCTCATGGCCCAGGCTGCCCCCATGGTCATTTGCTCTACGCCCACGTATGAGTCAACTGTTTTGTTTGCACACGCTGACGTGGTCGTGATACGTTCTTCCTCTGTGACCCTTATCCTGGCGCCCTTCCTGACTAGGCGATCCCCACCTATTAGTAAAGCAATCTTGTCCCCACCAGCCCGGTTTGCTTCCTCGTTCCCCATGCCTCCCTACGGGTGTTCCCGGTGCAGACTTACCCTGCACTCCATGTAATCCCTTCGGCCTGTCCCTCGCGGCCTGCTACCCTGAGCGGCTCCTCTAAACTGCTCCAGCCTCCGTGCGGCACTGTCTGTACATCTGTCTGTCCGTCTGTGCCCAGAGTGCCTGCCGTGCAGCCAGCCGGGTCACCTGTGTGACCCGGTGACCGGTCAGTGCGTGTGTCCGCCCAACACGGTGGGTGCCAGCTGCGAGCGCTGCACACTCGGCCACTGGGGCTGGAACAACGTCAACGGATGTCAGGTACGGATACCAGAGCCCGGGAGTCCTCATATAATGGTGTGACACACATGTCATTATAATGATATAAACCATATTGGTGCGCCGTGTAACCTGGTTAGTCGTATGCACAAACTAAAACGCCGTAATCTCAGTGACTTTTTAAATGACAATTTAAGCCCTGATGTAGGCATGTCTTACGGTAACCAATGGCAGGAGGAGGAGGATTTATTAATTTAATGTAATGGTTAATTTATGTTGTTATTCTTCAACCCACTTTCCCGAACGAATTATCTTAGCATCGTTTTCCGTTCTCTGCTGCTGCACATAAATGCGACTCTGACCCGCAAGGTTTACGCTAACGATTCTTTTGTTCGTTCTATCTACAGAAATGCGACTGTGACCGGCTGGGTTCACAGTCCAGTGAGTGCGACGTCACCACCGGCCAGTGTCGCTGCTTCGACGGCTTCGGCGGTCAAAGGTGGGTGTCTGAAGCCGGGGGTGTTCCGAAACCCACCGCGATCTGCACAGAAACCCATCTGATATCGATCTACACCTACAGCAGCGTTCCTCGGGATCATGCAGCGCATTCCTGCATGGATGCGCAATATTGTCATACATTAGCATCCATCAATGTTATCCTTCCCTGCTCTGAAATCTATCAGGTGACATCAGCTGCCCTTTTTGGGACAATCTCCACCCATCTCCCGCCGCCATCTGGTCTGACACGTGTGTCACATTACGCAGGTGCGACCGGTGTCGAGCCGGGTATTTCGACTTTCCGCGGTGCCAGGCGTGTCGCTGTGACCCGGACGGGTCAGAGTGTGACGCGGACGGCAGCTGCGGCTGTGACCAGGCCGGACAGTGCCGCTGCAAGGTGAGGATCGGCACAGGGACTGCAGTGGGGATAATGGAGTCGATTTTATGGCCGCACTGGGGGTGTATTCGATTGATATCACTTATCACTTTATTTTGAATAGTTTGAATGGAACGATGACGGCATAAGATAAACAGCCTGCGTACTAAGTTCAATTCGGTCTGGGTGCAATACGGCCTACGTTCAGTGTAAGACAAATACCTACATATCCTTTCTGTTGACTGGCCTTGAAGAAATGTGACAGCAACTGAGCAACTATAAACTCGAGTTAAAGAGTCGAGTTTATATCACCTATCGCTTACCGTTCCAATCACTTACTCTGCCCACTATTTCGGACAAGTGAACCCTGAACTGAAGCGTCCTCCTTCTCTGACAGAAAAACACCCTGGGTGAGAAATGCGACCGCTGTCTGGAGGGCACGTTCGGCATGTCTGCCGACAACCCTGACGGCTGCACGGCTTGCTTCTGCTTCACCAGGAGCGGACAGTGCTCCCAGGGAGAGTTCGTCTGGGTTCCAGTACGTGGACGGGTATAGATCCAAGTGGTTGTGTGGTGACTGATGACATATACAGATTTATTGCCTTTTATGAAGTGGTTTTGGTGTGAGTTAGCTACTACTGGGATGAACGTAAGCCGATAACATGCGGTAGTACGGGCAATATTAATATTTTCAGTAAAGCATAATGATGCATCACCAATATGCTAATGTAGCTCATTTAACTTGTTGCTTACAAGCCTTATAAAAGCCACTCAGATCCACATTAAATAAACCTGTTTGCTATGAACTCTGTGCATGAAAACGATGACTTTCACCGTTCATTTATTCTTGTTTCCCTCTTTAGGTATATTTCTTTTCACTCGTATATCCCTTCGTTGGAACTATTAGCTGCATTCTCTTCAATGTAGTTTTTTAGCTGTCTCTCCGTCTTTGTTTTCCCTATATTTTTTAATTTACCCACCAATGAAACCATGATCTACAAAATTGGCGCCCAACCAATTTTGTACAGTCCTCTTTCCCGGCTCTCGTCTCCCTCCCTTTTCTCCGCCTCCTCCCGCTGACGGTGCCTGTTTCAGCTCACCGTTATCAAGACCAAACGTACCGTGGTTCTGGCCTATAACGAGACCGGTGACTCATTCTACACACTGCCTGTGGTGCCCTGGAACACACAGGAGATCTGCTACATCCACGTACGAACAGGGCTGCTACAGGAGCAGTGCTATGGCAGAGCACCGCACTGCACAAAACAGGCTACAAATGAATGGCTAATAGTTGCACCGCGCCACGTAAATGTAATGCACCGCACCGCACACAGCAATGCTTTGTTAGCCGAGGCACGGCACCTGGCAGTGCTGTCAGCAATCACACTGTGCAGACGTCGCTGAGAGCGTACCCAGCCGGGCATTTCACTGTGGCTGCTCACCGCATAGTAGACCTCACTGGGCGACAATGCACCCTCCCAGCCTGGCTACTGTTAGGCCTTCTGTGTCCCATAGACAACTCACATAGAAATGTTACGCATAGCATCGCACGAAGACCCGCATCGGGCAGGAAGGTCCGCAGACCTGCACTGGAGCTAAACTGCAGCGGAGGCCACGTATTGACCTATAGTTAACCGCTGTGCGTATAGTTGGCCGCCTGCAGCGATTCACTGCGAGACGCCGTTTTCGGCGAGTCATTCTCGCCGGCATCGTGACCGCTATGGCACTTGCAAGAGCACGGGAGGGCGAAAAACAACACCCCCCCCCCCCCCCCCAGTGTGACCCCGTCAGTTCCCACCATTCGTCTTCTTTTATCATGCATGCGTGCAGTACAGGCGTGACCGCCGGACTTTGGAGGCTTGTTTGCACTGACGGCGCACCGCTGCGCCGCGTACTTCACGTCAATGCACCCTGCTGTCCTCACTGCTGCTAGTGCTGCTTTGTGGGCTCTTAGAAGCGCGCTGGCATTCACTGCATGTGCATGATAACAACTGCCCTTGCACCTCAAGCATTCCTGTAATTAGTGTCAGTCGTGTTATGCTGAAATATCGTTCAGTGTGAAATGTGACTTGTTATTGAATGCGACAATAAATTGTAAATTGTGACAATAGTTCGAAAAAAATGGCGATTTGCATACATCGTTCAGTAATTTCCTTTTTGAAAATTATGGTTGCTAACAGGCTATGGTTTAGTTGCAAAACATTGTTCTATCCTTTTTGTCCTTATCTCTACTTCTTGGTTCTTTCAGGTTTGCAAACGTCTTAGATATCTTCCTGATTCCGGGTGTATGCCTCAAGACAATAAGTGACTTTCACTTCTCTTTCGTTCTTAATGTTTTTTTCGCTCAAACTTATTTTCTCGTTCATAGCCCACCTTCCGTATTAGATCGTCCATCCCTGCTCGTCCCCCCTCCCTCCCCATACCGTCTCCATCTGACCATCCGTCCCTCTAACTCTCCCCTCCCCTCCCTCAGCTGTCGCTGCCGGACAGCCGGGCCGTGACGCTCACCGACGACCAGACGCGTCTGAACGTCACCAACTCACTGCGCGTGCTGCCCGGATACTCCGGTGACGTGACGGTGGGCCTCAAGTACCCGTCCGACGCGCCCATCTACTGGCAGCTGCCGCCAGAGTTCCTCGGGGACAAGGTGGGGGTGGTGCGGGGAGTGGGGAGTGAATGAATGGATGAATGAATGAATGAATGAATATATGCATTGCATGGAAGAACGAACGAACGAACGAACGAACGAACGAACGAACGAACGAACGAACGAACGAACGAACGAACGAACGAACGAACGAACGAACGAACGAACGAACGAACGAACGAACGAACGAACGAACGAATGAATGAATGAATGAATGATAAACAATGGTCGGTGAACAATTTAATCAGGTATAGTTTAATATTGGTGTTAAAACTCTGTCAGACTTGTCACTTAAAAAAAATAAGCCTAATGAGTTAACATCATTTAAATCGCGCATTTTAATAAAATTTTAAATAAAATAGGTCTTTAATCCTGTTTGTGTCTTTCCATCAGGTCCGCTCGTACAACGGCCACCTGCGGTTCCGTTCTCGGAGTTTCGGCGGCTCCCGGCCGTTCCCTGCCAGCATCCTCTCCAGTTACCCGCTGGTACAGCTGCAGGGGAACACCCGACTGGTGCTGGAGCACTACCCGCCCACCACCAGCCCGGACGGGTTCTACCAGGTCAAGTGAGTAGTGTGGGGAGAGAAGGGTCTTACAAATGATATATAAGTTAGTTTCACAGAACGGCCACATGGTATCAGGCATTGTCATCAAATGCTCTACTTTATCGCCGGTAGGTGATTTGTTCGCCCACCCTCAGGCCTCGCAGTTTGTTTCATCATTCCCTGTTTTTCACCTCAGCCCACCCTCCCCCTCCGACAGACTCCACGAAAACTTCTGGCGTGTGAAGGGCGACCGTCGTGCGCTGGTCACCCGTGAGATGCTGATGGTGGCCCTACAGAACACACAGCACGTGCTCATCCGCGCCACCGACTACATAGACGCTACGCGGGCCGAGTGAGTTCTGGCGCAGGTCACGTGGTTTATGGGGGAGGGGCGGACTGCGGAGCTAGCAGACAGACCGGGGCCGGGTGCTCGACCAGCTGTCATCGGGGCTAATATTTAGTGATTAGCAGACGTCCAACCCGCTTGACGGAAGTTTATGCCATGGTTAGACGGTCAGTATGGTTAGTGTTATGAGTCGATGCTCAGTGATCCAAACATGTGATAACAAGCGGTTCTTGTGGACGTTAAAGTAAACATGTGATTTGAAATACTGTAAACATGGTCCATCATTCGCAGTAGTTATAAGGTACACCATTTAGGGTAATAAGAGCGCGGCTGACACCCAGTACACCACTCAACCGTGCGCTGGTCCAAGTTTGGTGCTAGATACGCCGGCTGATATTCACTACACCACTCAGCCGGGCGCTAGTCCAAGCTTGGTGCCAGTTACGCCGGCCGACATTCACCACACCACTCAGCCGTGCGCTAGTCCAAGCTTGGTGCCAGTCACGCGCAGACAGGAGAGATTCAAAATTAAGAGAGGCAAACTGGTCTTCACCTCTTCGAAGTTGTTAAATGGCCATGCAGTCTAGTCCTTCAGACAATAATTATTTAGGCCCATGCACCACCCGGCATTGTAGGGTGAACGCGACTCCCGGCGTGAGAGGGGGTGTGGGGATTGCCTCCTAACCCGCACGATAAAGAACCCATGGTGTAGTTCGTGAAGAGTAGGCCATGTGCCGGCACCATGGCAAAATTAATCCCAAATCGAATTTATTGTCTTGATGGAGGACAAAGTGGTATCTTAACAACCCTTTAAAGTAACTATAACGTAAAACTAATTCTAACAGTAGGTAAAGTAAGTCCAAGGATCCCACTCACCTCCCAAGAAAGCCACAACGCGTTACCGAGCACTTTAAAGATCAAGATTTTAGAACTCACACACAATTAAAGTAAATGAGCACTTGCAATATCAAAATTCCAGCAATTCGATATTTTTCTAGCAAACAGATTCTTTACAGGCGGCCGAATGTCCAATGGACAGGGACGCCTTAAAACCTCATTTTCACTCACTCACTTCTGACGTTACTGACTTTGGAGGGCGGTGTGCGCTTATTCTTTGAAGTCAAACATTATTGAAACTTGAAGTCATTGAAATTTTATACCTATGGTAACATGGACGTGTGTCGTTCCATTTCATATTCTGTTGCTTCCATCAGCGTAAGCATTTGGCTCGAAAAATCGTCTTCTGAGATGCATCCACTCAGCGCATTTCTGAGTGTAACAGATACTCTCAATTAGTATCCGCCTTTGCTGTGCATCCGGTTTTCTAGCATATATCACTGATGTCTGCCCTCGTTCCCTCCATCAGACTGTCGGAGGTCAGCTGGGACATCGCCGAGCCGACGTACGGCCACGCCGGCAGCACCGCACTGGGTATCGAGCGCTGCGCCTGTCCGAGGGGATACAACGGGTCCTCCTGTCAGGTGAGATGAGAGGTGTCATAATGATGTCATAAGACGTATTAAGTATAGTCAATTATCGTTACCCTGCAGAATACGAACGTAAGAAAAGTTTTCGTTTTGCAACTTGTTCAATTTCCGATACATAATAATAAACGGCATAATCTTACATCAACTTTTTAGAAACATCAGGAATTATCGAGTCTTCAGAAAATCACAAGACAATTTTTCCATTGACACTACCATTCAAACGTAACCATAGACAATGCCGAATAAGTAAGGCGGTTAATATCTTTCCTGTCTTATTCTAATTAATGGTGCAACTGTCCCAGGACCCGAGTATCGGTTTCTACCGTTCGTTCACGCCTGGCTACAGCAACAGTGAGATCATTATAGACCTGGTGGGCGAGTCGGTGCCGTGTCAGTGTAACGGCAGGTCACAGGTCTGCGACCCCGACACCGGACACTGTCAGGTGAGCGAACTGCGACCCCGACACCGGGCACTGCCAGGTGAGTGAAATATGACCCAGACACCGGACACTGTCTGGTGAACGAACTGCGACCCCGACACCGGACACTGTCAGGTGAGCGAACTGCGACCCCGACACCGGACACTGTCAGGTGAGCGAACTGCGACCCCGACACCGGCCACTGTCAGGTGAGCGAACTGCGACCCCGACACCGGGCACTGTCAGGTGAGATATTGTGTGACCCCGAGTACCGTAGGGTAGTTCGTATAATAAAATTTTATCAATCATGTCTTCTGAGATCCACCCTGATGCTATTAAAAAAGCAGTGTTACATATAAAGTACAAACGTGTAAATCTACAGTTTTTCCGATAAAATGTTAAAACTTTTCCGATGTACCCTTATTATCTCAAGCTGCGACAGTGGATCGAGCATGCACGTTTGTCCGTATCACATCAGTACAGTGAAACAGACCTGTTTATTACCAGCTAACCGTACCTCTACCCTTTCTACCCACAGAACTGCACGGACAACACCTCCGGCCAGCACTGTGACGTGTGCGCTCGCGGTTACTACGGTAACCCGTCCGAAGGTCCGTGTCTGCCGTGTCTGTGTCCGACCGCCCAGCTGTCCAACGCGGAGACGTGCTTCTCAAACTACCAGGGCGGCTTCCGCTGCCAGTGTGACCCCGGATACACGGGAGAGAGATGTGACCAGTGAGTGGGAGAGGGAGGAGGGGAGGAGTGGGAGAGGGTGGGAGGGAGGGAGTAAGAACTAGAGCTATTGAATGAATGAATGAATGAATGAATGAATGAATGAATGAATAATCCAGTGACAGTTTTTTCTGCACATACAAAATAAAATATTGGAGATGAACTGCAGCCTCTATACATGAATCTACATTCTACAGCATATTAGAAAATATTATGTGCGCTGGTGTGAAGAAGTGTAACAGCTCTCTGCCGTTTCCCGTTCAGGTGCGCGTTCGGGTACTACGGCTCGGCTCTGGAGCCGGGGATCGGGTGCAGGGCGTGCGCCTGTGACCCGGTGGGCAGCATTGGTAACACGTGTGACGCTGTCACCGGCCAGTGTCCCTGTCGGACCGGCGTGGTCGGGAGGGACTGCACCCGCTGCGCCCCCCGGCACATCGTCACCGAACGAGGATGTGAAGGTGAGACGATGCAGAGCTGTTGAAATGTGATGTATATGTCAGTGAGAGGGACTGTAAAGTATTGGAAGTCTCCTGGCCTCTGTGAGAGGTGGGGACTGTTGTACCTGAAAGACCAGTGTTTTGTTATCAATAAAATGCTATTTAAGCCACTTATTTATCATCAGGTCTAAAATCCACCCAGCCATCCATTCCACGGCAACGGCACTCGTATCAATGACTGACGAAATTTTGAAAGGTATGGACAATTCGGAAATTTCATTGCTAGCTCTTTTAGATTTAACCCTATTCCTGGCGGGGGGGGGGGCCTCAGGAGCCCCCCCCCCCTGAGGTTTTTTGGTTCTTTCTCCCAAACGCGTTGAGCTAGGAAGCTCAAATTTTCTGACTTTTCCTAAAAGGCTTCTACGCAACATGTCTGAAAATTTTGAGTTGATCTGACCTCAGGTCAGGTCACCAGAGGCGGTTTGGTGACCCTACCTCAGAAAAGTTTGCAATCACGCCAGAGCTAGAGTTTTTGACCGATCAATTTCTTCTCTTCAGGCTTTAGTTAGGGTACCAGTATGTGCAATTTGTATATCTCGGAATTTTGATATCGGTGACCTAAGGTCAGGTCAGTTTCGCGACCTCCCCATTATAAGTCAATGGGGGAAAAATCAACTCCCTGTTTTTACCACTAAAACGGGTCGGAATGGCCCCATATACCATACATGACTTCATATACGATCAACCTTCACTACCTTGAGGTCTGTTTTGCTGTTGGGCAGCTGTGAGGTCATGTGACGTCATCAAAGGTCACCAAAGGTTTTTGGCCAATAACTCCGTACAGGAACAAGATACAGACGCGTGGATGGTCTCATTGTGTTCAGCTCGTCAAGACGCATCGAATGATATACATGATGACCTCGAGGTCACGTGACCTGAGGTCAACCTTTGACCTTGACCTTTCGAGGTCAACATATATATCATTCGATGCGGATTGACGAGAGGATCACGATGATGCCCTTAGTTTGTTCCTATCTTGACTAATTCGAAAGTTATTCGAGATAAACTCTCTCCATATCTAGCGCCGCCATTTTGACTTTTTCGACCCCTGTGACGTCATCTTTGACCTGACCTGAAAATGACCTTAGTAAAAATTGTAGATCTTGGCCGTGCGTATCCGATGCCGTTTACCGCTTGTCGCTATCTTACTTCGTTCTCGAGATCTCAGGGGGGGGCCGAATCGGCCCCCCCCCCCGCCAGTTTCTTGTCCCGGCGGAGCCCGCCAGGAATAGGGTTAAGTCGGTGTTTTGATGTGGTCGATCATAGTACTATTCTTGAAAAATTGAGTCTCTTACAGATTAGGACAGGGTGGTTCAAGAGCTACCTCGAGGGACATACTCAGAGGGTAAGGATCGGCGACGAATTATCAGAACCCTTACCGATATCGGTGGGATGCTTCCAGGGCTCAACGTTAGGAAGTTTATTGTTTAATATTCTAAGCAATGACATCGCATGTCACATTCCGTCCTCTGTGAACGGTTTCCGAGTAACTTTAATCAGGTATGCGGATGATACTCAGCTAGCACTGACCGGGTCGAGACACAAAATTCGGGATATGCAGTGTGCTATGGAAGACGTTTTAGGTATCTCAAGTAACTGGTTTATGCAAAACGGTATGATGGTTAATCCAAGTAAAACGGAACTGATGGTTTTCGGTGACAGACGGCAATTAGTCCAGTTAGATGAAGTTCCAAAAGTGTCATTCATGGGTGAAGTGGTGATGTCTACCGAGAGCGTGAGGAACTTAGGTGTGATAATGGACCCAAACCTGTCATGGGAGCGCCACGTGCAACATGTTGTTAACAAATGTTTTGGCATTCTCATTGGAATCTCGCACGTTAAACATACTCTACCGGCTTCTGTTCTACCTCGTATCGTCGATTCTCTTGTACTTTCTCACATTCGATACTGTGCGCAGGTGTATGGTAGCTGTGGCAAAAATGTACTGACCGAACTACAAAAAATAGTCAACTTCGCAGCACGAGTTATTTCCGGTCGACGGAAATACGACCATGTTTCGGATGTCATTTCAGACTTAGGTTGGCTCACTGTTCCAAAGCTAGTTGACTATTTTGACATATGCATGATTCATAAAATTTTATCGCTGGACGTACCAATAGGATTGCGTGAAGCACTGTTGTTTAATCATGAATCAATCTCTCGAAGAACACGGCAGTCGGATCATATTTCAACCACTCGCCCCCGCAACAACCATGGAAAACGTACATTCATCTATCGTGCATCCAAATTGTATAACACATTCGCCATAGATCATCATGTGAACCACCTTAGCATGACTTCTTTTAAGCGCCACATTCGCAAAATGTTGGCTGATGCATCGTGATTTTTTTTCGTGACTAGTTAGTTTATTTTAAGTGTCCGCGATTTTGTTCTCATAAAGATGTGTGTGTGTTTTTATAACTTTTTTATACCGTGCGGTGTTACATTGTATGACGAGGGTATTGGAATAGCCCATTTTGTGTGGAAATACCTGATGATGTGAAATAAATAAAAAATAAATAAACATTCATTAGCCTATTAGCTATCAAACGGTCCTCAACATCGTTTTTCCTCTAGCGTGTCATGACAGTCATATGACCCTCTCGCTCCATGTCTCTCGCAACATTCAACATTCTATGTGATGTTGAAAGATTAGGAGGGCGTCCTAATCTTTATTTTGTTCTCCCTTTCAGCATGCCAGGACGGCTGCGTGGAGCTCCTGTTCGAGAGCCTCGACTCCCTGTCGGCCATGGCGTCTGCTGTAAACCTGACCGGCGCCGGCGGCGCGCCGTGGAGACGTTACTACCAGTTCTCCAACACCACCGAGACGGTGCGGGAGGAGGTGCAGCAGTATCAGGAGAGCCAGCTCACACTCCGGGCCATGTACGAGACGCTGGAGCTCGACAAGTACGCCACCACCATACTCATTCAGGTCAGTTGAAGGAGCAACGAGGATAACAAGAGAGACCGAAGGGGGTCAGGAGGCGTTTGAGATGGGTTGGATTTGGAAACATGTCTTGTATTACGTTTTCCGTATGTCTTTTGCCTCCAAAGATTTCATGAGCTTATATGGCGATCACTTGTGGATGAGAGCAGCGTAATGCCATTGTGAAGAAAGCACTTCCTTAGCCCAGACATCTTTTTTGAGACATGCCTTTCTCGTTTTGCAGGCGGAGGATCAGCTGAACGCCCTGTCACCCAAAATGGACGATGTCAGGCAGTTCCGCAACGAGATTGAAGAGATTTACCAGGAGGTCAAAAATACCCAGTTTCAGGCTGAAGGTAAGGGATGTGGTAGATCTACGCTGTTTCATAATTAGCGTTCTAGTTTTGACAAGTAAGTTGACATATTTTCTCCTTTGAAGTGACGCCAGCTTTGGAGCGTCTGAAAGATACCCCGGCAATCGTAAAACGCCTTGCGACACCACTCGGTATTCTACGGAAATGCGATATGTTTAATTCCTTGCTAACTGCATTAATGCATTATTCGAGCTGAATTGGTTGGTTCTGATCATCTTTGGCTCATCCCTCCCTTCTTTCCACCACAGACACGGTGGCCAAACTCCGTAACTACGCCATCGGTGAGACCTCCTCGGCGGGCGTCCAGGACGCGCTGCTCGAGGCTGAGGCGCTCCTGGCCAGGATGCAGGCCGTCCGGCTGGAGCCCGCCATGGCTGCTGCTGAGGCCGAGCTGCTGAGCGCCGCCACCCTGCTGAGCCGGCTGAGAGACATGCTGAGCAGCAGCCCCGGACGGCTGAATGACACCCGGGAGCGGCTGGAGCGGCTGAGTGAGCGGCTGGATGAGATGACCCGACTGGTGGCTGACGGAGTTCGACAGCCGATAGCTGAGGTACGCTTCGGGGCGTGCGGGAATGGGTGGTGTGGTGGGAGACGGTGGACCAAGTCCTGGGGTAGTGTTTCCTCTGCTAATTTCCCAGGCACTTAGCATTCTTTAGATCATAAGTTATGTAACCGTCTAAAATTGCTGAAAGTTTTAAACGGAAACACCAGCTGGTAGAGATATTATGAATGTATCAACCATCTGACCGCGTTTCCTTCCATTCCGCAGCTGGGGCTGCTTCTGCCGGCGCTGCAGGAGCGTCTGACGGCGCTCAGAGACGACCAGCAGGCGGTCAAGGACCTGGGTAACATGTGTGACGGCACGCTGACCAACACGTCCAGCCTGCTGGCGGAGACCCGCCTGCTCTATGACGCCGCTAAGGGAGACCTCGTCGTGAGTCTGGGATAGGAGCTGAATGACGGAAATGAGATATCGAAACGTAACAAAGGGAGGAGGGATAAAAACTGATTTTGTCATTAAAATGACACGGTTATTTACACACATCAAGCTGATTTATAGCATGATTTTCTAGCTAATGATGCCAGCTAATCGCCATCTTTTAAATTCATTCATTTTGCGTATTTTGAAGGTGTTGTCGTCCATACAAACAGTTCAGAATTAATAATTTCTCGGCTATCACCCACCTAACCTCCCCTTCTCCACCCCCTCAGGACCTCCGAGACCGTCAGCTGGAGGTGGAGCGCGCCGAGGAGCGGCTGCGGCGGCGAACAGACAGTTTCAGTGAACTCAGTGAAGACTACCGTATCCGATACGTGCTGCCGGCTCAGGTGCACGCCGCCACGCTGACAGCCCAGGCCGAGCGGCTGGAGGGGTGAGTGAGACGGAACGGCACGGTGCGGAACCGGGAGTGGAACATAGGCACTGGATGGTAAAACGGATCGAGGAATGGCGGCGTACACGGGAATAATGACGGAACCGTTATTTTGTCCGCTAACGCCACTTATCATCTGTTGGTAACTAATGCAGTTACCGCTTGTTATCATCTATTGGTAAAACAGTTATTCAATATTCGTTTTTTTGTTTGTTTTGTTTTGTTGGGTTAGGCCTTTTCGGTCTGACAAGACCATTGCAGAGCCGGAAGGATGATAGGAATTAGGGGGAGACATTGGTCTGGGCAGGCACCCTAGTGAGTCGCCGGGGCTGAGCCCGTCCAGAGGACAGGCCACCCAGCCCCAAGGCACTCACTGCACCCGGCTACGGGGTGCGCTCCCTCAGGAGCAGCGGTGCCGTTCCAAGGGAGCAGCCCGCATGAGATAAAGTTGCCTGTCCAGCCCGGAGGGGGGTTGCGGCGTGGAGGAGAAGGATTTCAGTATCCTGAGGATAGAAGCACGGAACGGTGTTCAATATTCGTTACATTTCCTATTTTTGTGGCGAGGATCGTCCGTTCCTAATTGGAGTCGTGCGGTGCAGCATGCATCCGGGGGTACCACTCCCGCCATCTATTGGGAAAGAAAGACACCACGCGGCACAGCATCATTCAGGCGCAACAGGGCCCGCCATCTATTGGGAATTGTACGCACCACGCGGCACAGCCTACCTTCAGGCGCAACCCTACCGCCATCTATGGAGCAATAACCACACCATGCGGCACAGCATCATTCAGGCGTAACTACTACCGCCATCTAATAGGAATTACACGAACCATGCGGCACAGTATCACTCAGGCGCCAAGTGCTCCCGCCATCTATTGATGATTATACGCACCATGCGGCGCAGCATCATTCAGGCGTCACTACTAGTGCCATCTATCGGCCGTAATCTAAGCTATTATGCTGTTTCTAACCACGACCCGTTTTTCCCGTGGCCAGTTCGTTCCAGGCGACCCGCCAGGAAGCGGACCTTTCACTGCAGGCTGCCGAGGCCTATCAGAAGATCGTGGACGCGCTCAACTCTGCCCGTCAGGCAGCGGAGGATGCCAGCGCCGCTGGCCAGAGGGCTTACGAACAGGTGGGTTTCACACTGTGCTACTGCTAATATCAGACGGCAAAACTCACACAGGCTATGAAAATATAGCTGGTCTTTGTATTTGCTTGTTTCCTAGCGATGTTTTGTTTTGCTATCGATATCATTGCGCTTGCTGTTAAATGTTTAAGAGTTTTGCAGCTTGTTTTATCTATGGTTTAGAGCAGTATCTACAACTGATTTGTTCATCTTCTCGCTCGGCTATCAGGCATATCCCAGAGACACGGACTCCCTAGTCTCTCTGGGGACCCAGGCGAAAACGAAGTCTGAGGTGCTCTTCGAACAGGCAGAAGACCTCCGACATCAGGTGGGCTTCCCTGGCTCTCATCTTGACGTGATTGGTCCGACAACTTTAACTGCAATGAGACTGTCTCCAGCTTGCATTGCTCCACGAACTGCTATTGACGAAAATGTTTTTTGTGTTCGTCATCATTCATCAATATTTCCCAAAAATAATAATTTCGACATTTATCAAGCCGTAGATCTTCCGTGATCACAGCCGCCTCCCATTTCACCAGGTGGTGGTTTTATCTGGCAAGATGGCAGCCAGCCGCGCCGGCATTGACATCATCAATGGAACTCTGCTGGCCACGCGAGAACAGAACGAGGAGATTCGAACCCAGCTGGCGCTCAACAACGTGGATGGTGGGCGTTTAAAATGTTTTTTTTTTGTGCCTACATGGGTAAACTATCTTGTTGGCAAAGGGTTTTTTATTATTTTTAGATTTCGAGATTCCTCTCTCCTACCCGCCCTCTCTGCCTCTTCTCTCCCCCTTCTCGTACCCCACTAACTCGTACACCCTCCACCCCTCCCACAGAGCTGGCCACCTCGGCCGGCGCCGCCTCTGCGGACGCCATGGCCGTCCTCAGCGCCGTCTCAAAGGTGGACGAGCGGACCCAGAGGATCGAGGACAACATTGACACCGTGCTCCGACCCGGCATGGAGCTGGTACAGGGCGGCGGCGCAGAGAGCATGGGCAACTTCAGCGCCATGCGTGAGTGGAGGCTGGGAGAGGCGGCGTATGGGGCCAGTGAATAGACATTTCAACTCGGAGAAGCGTTCAATCACCAGTCCTCAAAAGAGGGCTGGTGTTACCCCGAATCCCGATACGACAGAAAAGGCAAAGTTTCACTCGTGTTATGGATATTGTTATTTGAAATGGTTCCAGAGGTAATGGTATAGTTTGTGTTTCATTACTCACTTCTGTGATATTCAATTTCGAGTAGCAATTTCCCTCGCCTAATAAATCACCTTGTTATCTATGCCTTAACCCATGCTAATTCACTCAGCTGCCCGTATAACGTTGCCATACAATCGGCGGACAATGTATAAATGCACCACAGTATCACCATAGTCACCAGTCACCGCGGTCACCCCCCCCCCCTTCCCCGCAGTGTCCGCGGCCCGTCTGAGTATCACCGAGGCCGACATACGCGCCATGGAAGTGGAGGATCAGGTGGACGAACTCCGCGAGATGAGCGACAACGTCGGACTGAAGCTGCGCCAGCTCAAAAACAAAATACTGAAAGCGCGCCAGGCGGCGACCAATGTGAGTGGTTCTGAGCGGTAAGGAGTGTTTTACCTGTAAACGAATGATTCCGTTTCCAGAGCAATTCACCGGTGCTCTTGAGGTATGAAGATTGGAGTTGCCTTTAGTTTAGATTCCGTCGAATATTTTTTCAACATTACTTAATCCTTGCCGGCGCTTTGCTTCTTATTTATCACATTTGGCACTTTCTGTGTCACGGAAAATCGAGTCAACCCGTTTTCTTGGCGCTTTCTTCCGTTATTCGTCGTAAGATATATGCTTCCCGTAACGCAGCTGTTTAATTTATATCAGTAACTACACCAGTCTACAGGCTGGGCCTAGTCGCGTCGCCACCCCCTGACCCCCACTCTGATCCCTCCGCTCAGATCCGGGTCTCACTGACGGAGCGCGGAGCGCCGGAGGGCCTGTGCAGCCGCACCTACCAGGCGCCGCAGCTGCAGCCCAGCACCGCCTCCTCTGTGAGGCTCAACTACGCCATCTCGGACCCCAAGACGCGGGACGCCCTACTGCTCTACCTGCCGTCAAAGACTGAGGTCAGGATGGCGGCTGGGTGGAAATGCAGATAGTGGTTCACAATCTATGTGAATACGTTGAGTAAATGCGTAGATGGAACAGACCAAAAGGATGTTTTCGGAAGGAATGCTGGCAGCCGGACAGTTATTCTTCTCTGTGTTTATAGGGTTTGTTTAAAATAGATTGTTTTCATAAAAAGTTATCAAGAAAACGTCACAGATTTACTGGAAAGAAACGCCTCTGTTTATAGCATGTTGACTTGTTTCACGCACCTGACCTTAAACCTGCGACCCTGCCATGTTTACGAGTCCAAATTTCACGGTTCTAAATTAATTTCAGAGCGACTTCATGGCTCTGGAGATGGTCAACCGTCGGATCCGCTTCATGTGGAACAACGGCGGCCAGACTCGGATGGTGGAGCACCCGCGGCGGCTCAAGACCAACAGCGAGCAGCTGATGAAGGACCAGCACTGGTACATCATCGACGCAGAGAGGTGCGTGAATCGGTCAAATTCAGCCAGGCTGGTCGAATATTGCTGAGCAGCTTAAAGAAAGTTTTGATAGGGAAACGGTAAAATAATGCTGATTTAGTTTGACAACATTGCTCGAATAAATAATGTTCTGACACGAACTGACAGAGCCACAGCTACCACTCATAGCTACTACCGTTCCACCGAAACTTTTCTGGGCCATTCTGCCTTCCCAAACAGGATCGGCAACCTATAGGCAGCTGTCAATCAGGTGGCCTGCCTCACCTAACCCTATCCGACCCATTCTCCCCACGCAGGATCGGCAGCCTGGGCCGGCTCTCTGTTCGTCCGGCGGCCGGCGACCGCGGCAATCTGCCCGATACGGTGTCCAACTCGACCAGTGACGGTCTGTCCATCATGGACCTGACGTCGTCAGACCGGGTGTACGTGGGTCTGCCGTCCGACGGGCCTGACGTCGGCACCACCACGCGACGGTGAGCGGAGGCCGGGGGAGGCGGGGAGGGGTGGAATGTTTTGTGACTGGGTTTTGGATGATATGGAGGTGCCTTGGTTCCTATGATAGCCAACGAACTGAGGCATATTCTGTTCCTAGCCCCTTTTCTTTCCCCGGCTTTCTTTCTTCTTCCTCCTGACACCCTGACGCCCCATGTTTTCCGCCAGATTCGCCGGCTGTCTGTACGAGGCCACTGTGAACGGTCATCCACTGGGACTGTGGAACTTTGCCCACAACGAGGGATGCGGCGCCTGCCGCGCCGGGCCCAGGTCAGTTTTTCGGGATTGACAAAACATGTTTTGTTATCGTATCACAAGTGTAAAAATATATGATGGGCATTTTGTCACCTAGTAGTTGTAATAAATATTTGTCATACTTTTATAAATTTAACCACGACTCACTAATCGGCGGGCAAGTGTTATTACGTCATCGCACATAAGACTCACTATTCTCTCACCCCTCCCTCCTACCCTTCCAATACAGCTCGGACGGCATCCTGGCCAGCTCGTCGTGGTACAGCTTCAGCGGCAGCGGCTACGCCGAGCTGCCCGCGCTGAACCCCACCGGGCGCGTTCAAAACATGCTCTACTCGGTGGTACTCAACGTCAAAACGTTCGACGAGGACGCCCTGCTGTTTTTGGCCGTCAATGAGGAGAAGGTAACGGGACGAGGAGATTGTTCACGGAGGAGGAGACGTTCAAAGTTGCGACTTTTCTTCAAGTAGACACCTCGTGTGGTTGATGCTAATCTGTTATGGGTAAATTTTCGTAGTGTTTTATCACACATGCGCTTCTAGTAAAACACCTTTCTCTCCTCTAAAAAATGTCACGATTTTAATTGCAACAGGATGAAGGCATTTTGCGATTCTTTGATATGTTGTGTTCGGAACAGGTATCATTGCCAAAATGTGTAACTGATTGTGAACAACATTTAAAACCACATCTTCTCACACCTATTCGCGTCCGTCCACAGGACCAGTTTTTCAGTATCGAGCTGCGTGACGGACAGATCGTGACGCGTGTCGGCTTCAACAAGAGCGACATCCTGGTGGTGACGTCCAACGGGCGCTACAACACCGGCGAAAGGACCACCATTGAGGCCACCAAGTCAGGCGGAGACGGTGAGGGGCGGGGAGACACGTACAGGAAGCAGAGGCTTAGTCAGCTGTCTCAGTGGGGCGGTGTGAGGAAAGGGCTTAGCAAGGTGTTTGGTAAAGTCATATCGAGAATGTCCTGTTGGCTTTGTGCATTGCAGACTGGTGATGAGGCTTGCTCTTTGTGGTATTTATGAATAAGTAACTTGTCACTCATCTTGAATTTGCATGAACGCAATCATTTTGCTCATACATCTGGTCGCATGACGATGTAAGCTCAGAAACTTGACACTGCTAATCAGAACTCAGAGCTCTCTAACCCATCCCCTCCCCCTCGCCCCCCTCAGTCGGTCTGAAGATCAACAACGGCGAGGAGTTCAAGGAGGGCACCTTCCACCCGGAGTCGTCTGGCCGCTCGCGCTACCGCCGCCCGCGCTACCAGCTCAGCCTGGACTCCTCCCGGCTGTATTTCGGCGGCGTGCCGCCCGACTTTGACCGCGCCCGCTGGCCCGATGTGACGTTCGTGCCGCTACTGGGCTGCGTGGAGGATCTGCAGGTCGGGCAGACGGCCCAGAACCCGCTGGTCGGCAACTCGACCGGAGTGGCGCGCGAGTGTGGACGACAGGTGAGAAAAGGAGTGAGGAGGGAGCGCATGGGTGGTGCAGGTGTGAGGATGATAAGTTAGACGGGAGTATGGCAGTCAAGGGAGCTGGAAAGTGGGTGCGAATATGGTAGCATGTAGAGGATGGGACCCGGTCAACTATTGTCTTTAACAGTCGGTGTGATATAGGTAATGAGGTCATTTTTCTTGACATTGCAGAACGTTCATGCATCACTTTTTGTCGGTTGGGTTTATGTGGTTTCCATTCGTGGCTGGGACATTTATTTATTAACTGGGACTATATCTAGCGACCAAAGTACACATACGCACCAGCCAATGCCGGGAGATGGTTCATTCCACGTGTCTCGCTTGCGTCTCACGCATTTCCCACGCATGTCCCACAGCTAATGAAGACGGCGGGCTTCCACGGCGAGGGGTACGTGGAGCTGAACTCACGCCGGCTAAGGAAAACTGCCACTCTGGGCTTCACGTTCAAAACGGCCGTACCCAACGGCCTGCTGATGCTGTCCACGTTCGCGACCAAGGTAAAAACAGACTGTAGTGGCTACCAAACTAAAATCGTAGCTGGTTGTTTGGGTACTTTAGAGGAAAGGCGCCTTGTGAGTTGTGGAGTGTTTTTACCGAGTGGAGTTTTACATTGGTGTGTCGTGTTTATGCTTCTTTTTATCTGCTCAAATAATATCATTACATTTTATCTGCTAGTTTTCCTGCGCATAATTCTTCCAGGTTTACACTTTTTACTAGCATAACGCAGAGCTGGATGGCTTGCTTTCAGTTTTTCAGTTACAACCATACTAATGAGGGACAACTTTTGAGAGCTACCGTTGATCTTTTTTGTACGATACCGAATAGCGCTTGCTCGATTTATTTTAGTAAAGAGTTCTTGCCTAGCCCTCTTCCTCTCACTTTAAAGCGCTGTTTGGTGGTAGTCCGCATGTTTCTTGCTTTGGTTTACTGGTGGAGCTTTGGTGTAGCTGTGATGTCCATTTGGTGATAACTGAGTTAAAATGGTGACGGTGTCGCACGATTTGGTGAAGGAGGATGAGAAGCAGCTGCCGGTGTCGGCGACTGACCAGGGCAGAGCACTGAGACAGAGAAGGGTGAGGGGCCTGAGCCCGGTACTGTTCATGTCTGCACTGAATGTTCTCATATATCGGCACTGGTCGACCCGTGGAACGAGGCACAGTTATGTGGAATGCCGAAAGTGGCACTGATGATGTTTTTGTGGCACCATTGTTAGCTGGAATAGGCTGCGTTCAGCTGCTGCCTGCGAGCTCTGCATCAAATATATATGCACAACGCACGATTATCCTCACATGCAAGATGACTAATCGCTATTGTGAATGCACCCACTCCTATAAACAACCTTCGTAATGACTGTCTTATGCATTTCCGTTTCGTGACTTGAGCCAAGTGTTATGTCCCATATTGCATGCATGTAACTACATACAAGCTCCCAGACCTTTCAATGCCGCGTATCCGTTTATATAATTTTGTCAATGCCTAATGTCGCACGTTAGGCATAACGAAGGGGATCGGGGAGTATGTACAGTCCACAGCAGAAGTAATGTGTGGTTTCAGTCATGGGTATGTTTTGCTTCTGAAGCTTAGGAACGATTAGCCAGACTACAATGAAACTTTGAATGTAGCTTACATGTATCGTCAATTCGTCACCCATGCAGCTGCAACTTTATCTATTGGCGTCTTCTTTTCAGTAACTCCGCTTTAAGAAATCGCCAGTCAAAGCCATCCGTTCAGATTGGTAAAACCACACATTACTTTAGCGGTGGACTGTACAATGTGCATTGTGCACAGGGACGACCACAGCACCATGTGGCCCAGAACAATGTTCACCCGTGTTGTGTGTAGTGCGCAGTTCGGCTTGAACATGCTTGATCGTCGATGTAATCATCGCATGTGTATGTGGCGTGAGATTAGGATAGGTAATGTGTCCAATTGGGCAAACCACGCGGAGGGGTAGAGCGATGTCATTTCAGCGATTCTTCCAGTTCTATAATGTAAAAGTTCCCAGCCATCAGCATGTTTTGATGGTTCAAATTTATTCATACGTCTTTTTTTGCTGCCAACTATACTTAAAATGAGAAACAGGTTTAAAAGATCGATGCCGTCAAATCGACACCCTTATCCAGATCCGAACCCCCGACCTCCGTGTAACTCCATCTCCCCGACAGGTGCCGGCCGAGAACCCACTCAACAACGAGTACTACATGCTGAGTCTGAGCGATGGGAAGCTGGAGCTGCGTGTGAACGGCGGCGGCGGCGAGGCGGTGCTCACCTCCAAACGGACCTTCCACGACGGCCGACCGCACACGGTCACCGTGCTCAAACAGCGCAGACAGTAAGTCAACGGGTCACGGAGCGGAGGGTGTCATGCTGAGAAGGAAGCAGGGTTGCGCTCTCATTTTTGGGCATAGGAGTTCGGTAACGATGTGGTTATGTTCATAAGTGACACGGCCTGTGCTGAGGTTTAGGACGTTTATCCAGAACATCGTCTTTGAGAACCCACCAACTCGTTTTCTCTTTGACCTGACCAGACCCGCCCCTGACCTGACCTGCCCCTCCCGTCAGACTGGAGATGCGTGTGTCGGATATCGTGGTGGCCACTGGTCAGCTCCCGCGCCGCTCCGGTACTGTCCAGGCGCCGGAGAGCGGCGGTCTGTTCCTGGGAGGGGTACCGCCGGAGCTCTCCTCAGCGCTCAGCACCCCCGCGCCGCCCGCATTCGACGGATGCATCTCGGACGTCATATTCGGAGACAGGTCGGTGTGGGATGGTGAATATTAGAAGAGAGTCAGGTGAAGCCAATAGGGGACCACAAAAGACTTCAATATAATTATCACGGTTTAGGATGTTTTTGTCATGTGTGACAACATCATAAGCTACGCCACATTATTTGCGTCATATTTGTGTCATTTTTCGATAAGTCTAGGAGAATCGTAGCATTGAAAACTGAAAACATGACAACTCTTGGCCCATGAACACGTGATGTCTATTATCATCCCGGTATGACCTAAGCGTCCGTCTATAATAATCCGATCTCTCATGCCGCTGTGATATCTGACATCGTATGACGCGCTGTGCCCCACCAGTCTGATGCAGTTTGACGCGCCGCTGCGTCACAAACGCGTCACTCTGGGCCGGTGTAATGGCGACCTGTTCCGGAGTAGGATGCTGCACGAAATGGCCAGTGAGCCGGAGCCGACCTCGTGCAACAAGCCCTCACAGGTCACACTGGAGGCCAGGTGGGACGCCGAAAATGGTGCTGGAGGGTAGAGTAGCTGGGGATTAACTATTATGATTCAGAGAATGGAACGATCGTTCTTCCGTAAGTCTTGCAGGAGTTCCAAACTCACACTTACTCTGACTAGTATACAAAACTGGTGTGAATCTTGCATGTGTTCCGTAATCCGTTGCTTGCTGCATCAATGTTCGGTAACACCTCTCTTCTTGTTTCACAGGGCCGTGAAGCTGGGAGACGATCCATTCAGCCACGTCTTTGTACCTGTTCAGAGGAAGAACCTCAGGCGGAACTTTAACATTACGCTCGATTTCCGGACGTTCTACCCTAACGGACTGCTGCTGCACACTGAGGTGGGTTTGGCAAGGCTTATCATGCCATCTAGATATGTTCTATACCCATTGATTTGGACGTCACTGCTAGGAGATTGAACGGCGATTAGGCTCCTTATTTGAGGCCAGTGTTTATGTCATACAGAGAACAACAGCCGTTTCGACGGGTGATCAGTACAATAAACAGTTATGCAATTAGGAATCTCTGCACCACTGACCTATCGACCTTCTCCGGACCTCCATATCTCCCTCTGACCCCCCTCCCCCGCCCCCCCCCCCACTTCCACCTTACAGAGTCCGTCTCGGAAGCGCAGCTCGTCTCTGACGCTGTGTCTGCAGGACGGCGCCGTGCACCTGACGGTGCGCCGTAAACGGCGGGCGGTGCAGCTCAGTGCCGGGGCGCGGCTCAACGACGGGCAGTGGCAGATGGTGAGAGCGGGAGAGGGGGCGGGATTTGGGATGGGATGGGATCGGATGAGATGGTGTAGGATGTTACAGAAGGAGGAATAAGACAGAAATACGCATTACATGAAATGTAATAGAACTAATATGATATGACGTGACAGACGGCGAAGAACAGGATGCAGGAGGATGGAAGAAGATAGAATGGTTCATGGCTAAACCCGGATGGAAAAAGGAAGAATCTCTGCGATTGTTATCGGTGGATGCAGGATCTCATTCTCTGATGTTACGACACCCTCTCAGCTGCTTAAAATAGCGTAGTGAACTGGATGAATGCTACGTTTTAGCCTGTTTATCGCTCAGATAATCGTGGTTACTGTTTTAAATCATATTCGCCTTTATCTTCCTGTAATCGGAATAGGAGGCACAATGTCTGAAGGGTCATTTACCTTTTATGTAATACGACATATTATATAACTAAATACGTTACATGATGTTACAAAAACAGCACATCTATTGTCATCACAATATTATTATCAATTCTAAGTGTGCTATCCTCATCCTCATTCCTGTTCATATTTAAATTCCTAGCCTAAACAACTTTTTTTTGCTGACACATGCAGGTCTGTGTTTCCTTCCTAAAGCCTTTGCACCGCCATGCTTAACAATAACCCCTACCTCGTCTCTCAGGTGACCCTCGTCAAGGCGAAGCGCAAGTACACGCTGCTGGTGGGCGGGGCGTCTCCGGCTAGTAGGCGTGGTCCGCACTCTATCCGTGTGGGGCGCGCCCTCTACGTCGGCGGGGTGCCGCCCCAGGGTATCGAACTGCGGGGTCAGGACAGCGACTCGCGGATACCCGGGCACAAGAAACTGGAGATGCTGGTGAGTGTTTGTTGTTTGCATGATTTTATTAGGTATTCATTAGTGTGTGTGTGTGGAGGAGGGGTTGCTATTGGGAGCCCTAGATGTAATGGCGGAGGGGCCTGTTGTCGATACATGCCGCGAAAATGGAATTTTACCGGACTATCAGCTATTCATATGTCAAGGTCATAATGTCACTGCAAAGTGTTGTTTACCACCCGCTTGGGACAAAGAGCTCAAAATGGAGTAGCTGCCATGTGGAAATTGCACCAGAGGAGCCAATGGCCTTCAAGTCACTAGCGTCAAATGTCATGTATCAACCGTTAACCACAGCGGCATCTGTCCCGCAGAAAACTGAGGGCTTCAAGGGCTGTATGAAACAGCTGGGTATCAACGGCCGCGTGCGTGACCTGCCCTCGGGAAACAACATCATCCACCGGGTGGGCCAGTGCATGGCCAGGGTCGAGCTGGGCACCTTCTTCGCAGGAGACGCGTTCGCCAAGTATGGTGAGTCGCAACGCAACGACGTGATGAAAACGGAATATTGGCAAAACAGCAACAGTATACCAAATGTCGAGCTGTTACGAGTTTTGATAGTTTTACAGCCAAATAAAATTGCGCTCAAAGACCTTAGAATGTAAAAAAAAAATGAAAATGGAAGAAGTCAGATAGATACAGATTGCAGGTGTCTATATTTTACCCAATAAATTTGGTCACACTTTGTTCATGTCACCTCATCTGTATTCCTAATTTCCTTCCATGCTGCAGCCGATGCAGTCAAGCTAGGCGACAAGTTCGACCTCAGGCTCGACTTCAGGACCAGCCGGCTGAATGGCGTGCTCGTCAACCTGCTCAACGACAACGGCAGGGCCATGCTCTCACTGGAGCTGCGTGACGGTGACGTAAGCATCCGGGGCACCGTTAGGAGCCTGCATATGTAGAGCTATAGTTGAGCGGCTATACTGAGGGCTAAAGGTGGGGTAGTTATTCAGGAATACTGCGTGCATGCTCTGGATTCCGTTTTTCTCTCCCTTACTAGGCGTTAAGAGTAGATAGGACATAAAGCTCAATATGTGGTAGGAGTTCTACCAATTCTTCATGCTCTTTGCGATATTGCCGAGTTCCCAAAATGTAGCGTGTTTCCTTTTTCTACCGCCAGGTGGTGTTCACCGTCGATAACAGCGCCGGCCAGCCTATCGAGGCCCGTCAGTCGTTCCCCGCTAAATACCTCGCCTGTAACAACCGGTGGCACACCGTCCGGGCCACCTACGGCAAAGACCAGGTAAGGACGAAAGAAGGGTGCGAGATGATCACTTCTACACTTGTTGGGTCGGGGCGTATAGTCTTTCGGGCCAGCATACAGGAGTAGGTATCCTATCGCTTACGTTCTTGATTAATCCCACTTGCGTATTCTGCCACGACCAAGGTTCCTTAAAACGTCATGAACGCGTCAAGGCCCCCTTTCGTGGTTACGCTCTCTCGTTTTCCTACCAGACCCGTCTGCTGCCGTGGCCATCGCCGTATCATGTTTCAACTATGTCCCGTGACACCCAAGGCCGGCTATCTCGGAAAATTGTGGGGAACGCGAGCAGAGCAGCGTCCTTGAGACGGCTCATCCCGCCGACTGGTTTTGTTTTTGTTATAGTCGTTAACTCGACAGAGAAAGTGGGCGCGGTGGGCTGTGAAGAATGCAGAGATCCACGGCGCAGTACGACTCGTACGACTCATGGGAAAATGATGCGAGGCCACCTGCACTGCACTGACTAGTGGTGCTCCGTTTCAGGCGATTCTGAAGGTGGACCAGTATCCGGAACGGTACGGAGTGTCCAGTGTCAGTCTGGCACGACCGCCGACCGCCGCCCTGCCGCTCTTCCTGGGCGGATTGCCAGGTCAGTATCGCGACTAAAACTAGCTCTCTGTCCAAAACTCATCGTCGTATGCAATTTGCGTGTGACAATGACAACATAAGTGTTTGTTTTTATTACCGGCGTGTATCGTTTATCGTCTATTCAGGAGAGAAGTTCGTGCTAGCTCAGCTGACGTCGACTGACATCAAGGTTCCGTCCTTTCTCAGATTCTGCACGAACATCTCTAACGCCACCGACGGACAACTTCAAGGGCTGCATCCGCAACATCGACATAAACGGCGCGCGGCGCGACTGGACAGACATGGCGGAGCTCAGCAACGTCCTGCTCAACTCTTGTCCCGTGCAGCGCTGAACAGTCGGCGCTGAGAGGCCAGAGCCGAGCGGCCAGCGCTGAGCGTCTGCCCGCAGTCTGGCAACTTGAGTCCGGACTGCCGTCTGCAGTCATTCCTATAGTTGACGCTATAGCCGGGTCTTGTCGCGCTATGTGTAAAATAGCTGCGCGAAACAACCGCCGGCAAGGGTTGTTAGAGTGTGAACAAATGTAAGTAAGAATTTTATTGAATGACTCGGATGAGATTAAGTATGTAAGAAGAGGGAGGTGACAACGAGGAGTTGAATTGCTTTATGTCTCGAGTGGATATTATTGTCTATTGATTGCCCGTTGTGGTAGGATAGTGATGTGACGATTTGTGCCTGAAAATTTGAAATGTTTTAATTACTAACAATTGATCGTGGATTTTATCGATCCTGGATATTTTCATGTCGAGGCATAACCTGGCCAAAATACCGCAGCATTTCCAGCATGCATATGGTCTCTTAGTGAGTTAGATCTGTTGATTCAAGGTCACGTTACCGCTTTAATGATGCATGGTTTGTGACGTCAAACAGTAATGCAAGCTCTCAAGTTATATTTCCTTGCACCAATGAAAACCGCGATTTATGTCTCATTTTTACTACTGATGCATGGCTTAAGTATACATATGATCACTGATGCATATGATATGGCGCCTATGATCATCGATTGTCGACCTGTTTAGAACCTGCATCCATATTCATGTGTGTGTGTTTGGGATTGCAGCTTCTTTGACAAGTGTAGCCGCCTGTTATTTAAGAATGCAGAGTTTGTGGCAGCTGACGCGACTTAATCTTATTCGACGACAGTCTTCCCGAGACGAGCGTGGTGTTTCGACGACAATAGAGCCATCTATTGATTTTTTCATATCCCATTATGCCTATGTTCATGTCGCACCACGCCCTTCCCTTGATGTGCTGCGTATTGTGTAACCAGTCCCTGCTACCATTCGGCATAAATGCGTGCTGTCAATGTATTTGTATGAGACATTGTTCTGCTTTTTTGATTCATATCTCATGACTCAAAAAACTGCTGAAGTATCGAGTGCTCGCATATTTTTAAGAAGTAATAATTGTAGCATCCAGGACACTGCCATTGTATCCAATAGATCATTTTCGTGATTCACTGTGCATTGACCACGTCATGTGCCTATTCAAATGACGAATATATTCGCCTGGATTTATTCGCATGCAATGGCTTTTTCGATCATCATGCGTCGAGATATTTACATAATACCGAATAGGTAATGAAGGGCGCTATTTCAGTTGTTTCAAAGATAGCTGACTCTCATAAATTTGTTGATGAAAGTAAACAATGAAAAGACATTTGTAACCAGCCTCTCTGGGATTAAAAAATCGAAAAATTGAAAGTAGATTAATTGCTGGCTTAATTCGTTTCGGCAGCATCGAGAGCGCATAGAAATGGACATCCCAGCCTCAAAACAACCTTCACACTTCGGCCCCCGCTGCAAGTCCGCTGGCTGAGATCTGCAACGCGACATTTCTCGTTTCATTCGGTACCTATCTGCCAGAGCTGACAAGCTGAACCGGCTGCACGCCCTTACAGCTGTGGTGCCCTCGGCTTTCAAACGTCATCTTGCCAGCATTTGGATAATCCGCTATTTCTGTTCCAAACTTGTCCCAATGTCCTTCAATCCAGCCAAGGACCAGATGAATTTGGAAGTTTAGACCGTAAGCGCGTGAGTCGGTCTGATGGTCTGACTTCAGATTTCCTTTTTCCTGGGTCGCAAAATGTGTTTGGATGATGATATACAGAGACGGAGTTCAGCTTTACACTGGAAGATCCAAATGCGCACTAATGTAAACGCGCTGCAGAACGCGTCACTGCAGTTTCGCAATTTTACATGTTCCAAAATGTCCCCATACTTCAGAGTTAGGGTTAAATGCCTTTTAGACGTCACGCCTAGGTCGCATATACGGTAGCTCGTCAGCGGCTCCCATCACCTAGGTATAGTGATAAACATAACCTCCGACCAATGTATATCATAACATGTGACGTCATCGGACACCCGCTGGCCAGTGGCCACCACTAGTGACGTCAGCGGACAAATTAGGCGGGAAAGTCCGATCCCTACTCCCGTGCCGAGAGTAATATTAATGGTCCGGTGAATTATTACTTACGGAGCTGGATAATCCGGATTGTCAAATAAGACGAAAATGTATTAGAATATACTAGGCTAGGCCTACCTATATTTGATAGATCTTTACGCCACCTTCCGAGTACCGTATACCGCAGGGCCTCCTCTAACATACCCACTGGGTGGGCAAATGCCCACCCAGTCACCACAATTGCCCACCCAGTGGCGTCGATTTGCCCACCCAGAAGCAAATGCAAAAATTCTGGTCCGGCCGGACGTCCGGTACTACCTTTCTGGTCTTAAGCAAACTGGATGCTGTTTGAAGGTCAAAAAAGTTTTCTGGTTGCCCGATATTCAGGGGCGTAGCCAGGATTTCCTCAAGGAGGGGGCCAAACGCACAGGGGCCCAAGATAACCCCCTCAAAATTCAAAAAGCCATCTGGTTGCATCCAATATTTTGGGGGGGGGCCAAATAAATAGGAAAAAAATATTTATTAACAAAAATATTAGAACTTAGGGGGTAAGCAGTCCATGGGCCCTGTTAGATAGGCCCACGAATAGCTTCATAGAGTCGCCAGTCGGTTTTGAGGGCGGTCTGAGGGCCCGTAGGTCGGATGAGGGTTCTTCAGACCGTCAGAGGCCCCTACAGCGCATGAGAGCCTCGTAAGCCGTCTGAGGGTCATATAAGCCGCCTAAGGGCCACTAAGACCGACAAAAGCCCTCCTTGCACTTGCAGAGGCCCAGTCATGCCGACGGAGGGCTCTCTCAGACAAACTAAGGACCCGTTCAGGGCATTTGAGGGCTTCCTCAAACCGATAGGGGCCCCTCAGATCGACAGTGGATCCGATCGGAGCTCCCTCAAACCGATATAGGGTCAGACCAACAGTCGGAACGCATTGATTCTGTTTACACACCGTTGGACCCAAGTTGGACCCATCCCATCCAACTGGCCCCCTGGTTTCAATAGGGCCCCAAGGCTCTAAAATTGGGGCTCTCTTGGCCAAAGTATAACTACTCAGCTGTGTCAAAGGATCTGCCGCAGGGGCCTTTGCGTCGCCAAGGGCCCACTGTGTCAGCCAGGGGCCCCTATAGAATAAGGACCCCTGGCTTCCAGGGGGGGGGGCATGGACCCTTTGGCCCCCTCATTGGCTATGCCACTGCAGGTGACAAACGTTCTTCCAGGCGACCAGGGGGCAGGGGCCAGGCGACCAGGCCCCCAGGCGACCAGGGGCCCCCAGGCGACTAGCCCTCAAGCGACCGGGGCCCCCTAGGCGACCAGGGGCCCCAGAAAACCGGGGGTCATCGGATGAGTGCAGGGGCCCATTGGGTCATCAGAAGGCCAGAGAAATGAAACTTCGATATCAATTTTCTTCCGAGTAAAAGACGTTTTATCCAGTGTTTGAAAAAAATATCCCGGGGCCTGAGGGGCTCTCCAATGGCGCGTTTTGCGCTCAAGGGAGGGGGGCCATTGCCCCCGTGGCCCCTCCCCCTTGGCTACGCCCCTGCCGATATTGTTATTCATGGACAAAGCCAGCTAAATCTCTAAATACGGCTGAGCTGAACAAATAAGCAAGAATCATTACCGGTTCGGGTAGCCTTTACTACAATGTATTATGTTAGTTAGCCCTCGCCCGATGAGGGGGGTTGATGCACCCCCCTAAGGTTTTTCACAAATAACGTAAAAACGGCGGCGCTCAAATTTCGCATACCCTCTGGGGCAACCTTTTGGCACTTGTCCTGAAAAGTTCAAGTCTCTAGTCTTTTCAGGTCAGGTCACCGGGTCACAAACCCGGTACAAGGTCAGGGGAAAATTGGACTAACAGTTTAGCGGCAACCGAATGCCAGAGTTTTTCGTTGATAGCGTGAGTTCTATAGCACGTAGCGCTACCAAATTTAAGACACGACTTGGAGCATCTGTTTGTCACTTGGCCTTGGAGTTTTAGGTTCCAGTGACCCGAGGTCAGGTCACAAGGTCACAAAAACTGGTGCATTGTCAAAATAGCAAGAATACCGAATAAGAATACCTACCTACCACGCAGTTTGCAGAGGGCTGTACATGTAACTCTGGAACGAATCGCTCGAGCATTGCTAACCATAAAACATACGACAAACGTTAACTTTGCAAACTATCATCTTATTTCCAATAACGGCACTGCTTATTTCGCCTCACCCCCGCCCCCCCCCCCCCCCCCGGTAACAGGTTATGAAATTGGTTGAACCCCAAAACAGTGGCTGGATCCACCCTTGGGCAGGGGAGTAGCGAAAATTTTGCCCACCCAGTGAAAAATCCTTAGAGGAGGCCCTGGTATACCGGGTTCGCTACGTCGCTACGTTGCCTCGTTTTGAGGACATGCATTAATCCCTCCTCGTCCGTTATTTATTGGCTCGAGCCTTTCTCAGAGCGCGGCGCGCACGATATGGTTACTGGATACTACCTCTCAATCTTACGTCGGTTCCAAAACAGCAAAAATATTTGAACAGCTAAATTGTTAGAATATCAATGTTGTAGTTTTCACTCTTGGTTGCGTGTGAGACGCATCCTAATAATGAACCCCGTAACAAGATGAAGATATTGCTTCAAGATTGAGCCATTCAGACTGCTGTCAATCATAAAAAAAAACGAATTTCAAAACATGCGATATAAAGCTCCTATTTCGCTGGTCACCGCTTCCCCGACAAAGAGCAAGGCCACGGTACGGACTCAGATGACCCCCTTGGAGAACCCAACAGATGAATACCCCGTTTTATCCAACAACAAAAACACAACTGCGCGTAAGCATTTCGCCACACATCCCCCACCACAAAGCCGTCTCCCCATCTGCCCTGTCCCAGTGGGGCCTCCAGCCCGGCGGGTCGGGTCGGGGCCGGTCCTCGGCCCCCGCCCCTCCCCGCAGCCCCCGGCGAGGTCCACCGGCTGGGGCTGCACGTGCTTTCACGGCCGTCCCGGGCGCGGCGCCGCCGCCGAGCCGACCGAACGGCCGCAGTCGCGCACAGACAGAGCTGCGTGGTGCGCGGCCGGTGGAGCTCGGAGCTGACAGCTGACTGGGCTCGGAGCTGACAGCTGACTGGGCTCGGCGACAACACAGGTGGTCGCAGCGGAGCCAGAGGAACGACATTCGACAACACAGGTGGGTCAACGGTGCGTGTTATGGTGACAACCGACAATACCTACGTCAGAACTGTGAATGTGGATGCACGCGCACGGTTGAATGTTGCAATTTATGTTATGTCTGGGAATGCATTGGCAACTTAATACCGCATAGGTATGCACCATAAGACCACAACTAGGTATATACTCGATTGTAAGAAGTTTTATGAAGCGAGTGTGCATACGTTTATCATGTGAGTATCATCCTGTAATCCGAACATTAACATAATTATCGAACTAGTTGCGACGGCACATTATCAAAAACTTATCCTGCAACTTTAATATCACGGATTGGGATACTCTGAATACTTGCATACATACAACTGTAAAGTTAGTCGTGCAGTTTGCATCAAACGCGGACAGTTCGATCAAATGTAAAGAAGTGAACTTTCGATTCAGTTGTCTTCATAAAATCTGAAAGCTGTTCAGAGTAACTTGCTTCGCGCGGAAGAGGAGACCTGAAAAACCGGGCATTGTTCCGATGGGCTAAAAATACGAGATGTGCTTGATCATAGATAACATGAACTACCTGGATTGGACACTCGTTTTTGGCGCCAAAAATAAGAGGCCACTTTGGCCTCTTATTTTTAACGGCGGCCTGTAACACTTTTGAGAGGCTGATATCTCAGCAGCCACTGGGCCGATTAGCCTGCGGTCTTTTTTGTTCGGTAGCCCCATCCCTTCTGCCCCATAATTGACTTCTCATGATGCGTCTAGGTGACTGCCGTAGCACGTGCCACGTGAAAAGTCAGGGGTGTTCACTGTTCAGGGTATTTTGCATAAGTAGCGCTTTTGCGAGGCTTATATCTCAGCAACCACTTGACCGATGTACATGCGGTAATTTTTGTAGGGTAGCTTCATTCATTTTACCAAGTATTGGACTATTCCCGATGCATGTGGGTGACCCCTTATGCACGTGCCACGTGCAATACGAAGAAGTGTCAGTTTTGTAACAATTGCAATGTCTCGGTAACTACTCGGCCGATTGCGCTGAAACTTGGCATACAAATACGCACCCACCGGGCAATGTATATCCATGTGCCAGAGATGGGGTGCTGCTGCACGTGTGCACGTGCAGGGCAGGGGTCGTTTCCAGATCTCGAGAACGGCTGGACCGATGGCGCTCAAATTTGGTACACGGTTAGGGACCAGTTAGAAGGGTGCCGTGCACAAGTCAGTTGGGATCCATATTGCACGTGCGCACGTGCAGGGTGCCGCTTCCAGATCTCGAGAACGGCTGGACCGATGGCGCTCAAATTTGGTACACGGTTAGGGACCAGTTAGAAGGGTGCCGTGCACAAGGCAGTTGGGACCCATATTGCACGTGCGCACGTGCAGGGTGCCGCTTCCAGATCTCGAGAACGGCTGGACCGATGGCGCTCAAATTTGGTACACGGTTAGGGACCAGTTAGAAGGGTGCCGTGCACAAGGCAGTTGGGACCCATATTGCACGTGACTTCTCACGTGCAGGGTGCCGTGCAGGGTGCCGGGTGCCGTTTCCAGATCTCGAGAACGGCTGGACCGATGGCGCTCAAATTTGGTACACGATTAGGGACCAGTTAGTAGGGTGCCGTGCACAAGTCAGTTGGGACTCATATTGCACGTGCGCACGTGCAAGGTGCCGCTTCCACATCTCAAGAACGACTGGACCGATTGCACTCATATTTGGCACATCGCTATAGACCGGTTAGTAGGGTGCCGTGCACCGAGAAAGTTGTGGCTCTGCGCGTGCTCACGCGCGCACGTGCACACCCCCCCCCCCGTCATATCTCGGGAACGGACTGACCGATTGCAATGAAATTTGGTGTGTGGCTGGATGCTGACCGTGTATGAGTTTTTCTCAGTCGACGAAGGTGAGGTAATGCACGTGCGCACGTGCACATCCCATAGTTCCAGCTAAAAATGGGACACGCCGCCTTCAATAAAAAGCTGGTGTGCGATTGAAGGATAACAAAGTGTCGTGACTGTGTGCCTCAGAAGGGCGTGAATATGCACGTGTGCGCGTTCACACCCCATTTTAAAGTTAACAAAACTGGCGAACCGATTTGGATCAAACTTGGCGTGCCATCAGGGAATAGCAAGGTGACCGTTCATGACCTGAGATGACCTCAGCGGCACACAGAGGGGTTACATGCCAACCAGCAAAAACGCACGCAGAAAACGCATAGTGTAGCCAGGCCTTTACACAAAACATGCGTTTCTATTTTGTAAATTTATTTGCAATTTTGCTATTTGCTGTCAAATTAGGCAAGAAACGAAAGAATGTTTAAATTGAAGTGCACGCGACATTCAACAGCTGTTAAAGCATTTTTGAGAGTCGTTTTGAAAGTCACGAAAGGCAAGAGGCTGCTTTTTATTATTTCATGACAGTACGATGAATAATATTGTTTCTTTATATGCCATTAGTTACATTCTATAATGTAAGGCGTAAGCAGATAAGTCTGTCGGCGAGCAGTGTAAATATGACAGTTAAATGCGCTGCGCTTAACTGTCGGTCGGGTTATAAGAACAAGAAGAGAGATGCCGTGCTGTATAAAGAAGGTGAGACGAGCGAGAGAACGACATTTAAAAAATGTGTATTCAGATTTCCCAGAAACAAAACCGTTCGCGATCTCTGGCTGAAGGCACTGGGCAGGACAGATTTTGATGCTACTCAAACAGGCGTATGTGAAAAACATTTTAAGGCCAGTGATCTTCGACGGGCCGAAAAGGATGACAACGGAAAGATAAAACATGGTATTACATACCAATGAGAAAGATAAAACGTGTATGTGGAAACCAGTTATATTTGGTGATTTTCGAAGAAATATAAATAAGGTGTGCATGTGCGCACGTGCATTACTTTACCTTCGTCGACTGAGAAAAATTCATACACGGTCAGCATCATGGTCACACAACAAAAGCAACAAACAGCCACACACCAAATTTCATTGCAATCGGTCAGTCCGTTCCCGAGATATGACGGAGGGGTGTGCACGTGCGCGCGTGAGCACGCGCAGAGCCACAACTTTCTCGGTGCACGGCACCCTACTAACCGGTCTATAGCGATGTGCCAAATATGAGTGCAATCGGTCCAGTCGTTCTTGAGATGTGGAAGCGGCACCTTGCACGTGCGCACGTGCAATATGAGTCCCAACTGACTTGTGCACGGCACCCTACTAACTGGTCCCTAACCGTGTACCAAATTTGAGCGCCATCGGTCCAGCCGTTCTCGAGATCTGGAAGCGGCACCCTGCACGTGCGCACGTGCAATATGGGTCCCAACTGCCTTGTGCACGGCACCCTTCTAACTGGTCCCTAACCGTGTACCAAATTTGAGCGCCATCGGTCCAGCCGTTCTCGAGATCTGGAAGCGGCACCCTGCACGTGCGCACGTGCAATATGGGTCCCAACTGACTTGTGCACGGCACCCTTCTAACTGGTCCCTAACCGTGTACCAAATTTGAGCGCCATCGGTCCAGCCGTTCTCGAGATCTGGAAACGACCCCTGCCCTGCACGTGCGCACGTGCAGCAGCACCCCATCTCTGGCACATGGATATACATTGCCCGGTGGGTGCGTATTTGTATGCCAAGTTTCAGCGCAATCGGCCGAGTAGTTACCGAGATATTGCAATTGTTACAAAACTGACACTTCTTCGCATTCACGTGGCACGTGCATAAGGGGTCACCCACATGCATCGGGAATAGTCCAATACTTGGTAAAATGAATGAAGCTACCCTACAAAAATTACCGCATGTACATCGGTCAAGTGGTTGCTGAGATATAAGTCTCGCAAAAGCGCTACTTATGCAAAATACCCTGAACAGTGAACACCCCTGACTTTTCACGTGGCACGTGCTACGGCAGTCACCTAGACGCATCATGAGAAGTCAATTATGGGGCAGAAGGGATGGGGCTACCGAACAAAAAAGACCGCAGGCTAATCGGCCCAGTGGTTGCTGAGATATCAGCCTCTTAAAAGTGTTACAGGCCGCCTTTAAAAATAAGAGGCCAAAGTGGCCTCTTATTTTTGGCGCCAAAAACGAGTGTCCAATCCAGGTAGTTCATGTTATCTATGGCTTGATAAAACCAAAGGTAGACTTCCATGCTAATCTTGATTAAATTCATCATATTTTCTATCTCCCATTTCCCGCTGTTTCAACTTCGCTCAATATGGCTGACGGGAACTGTCATCTAAAGGTACATATAGAATGATAAAAATTGCCCCATTTTTGGGGAATTTCATAAGTTGACACTCAAAGGCGCTCAATGAACAAAGAAAAAGGTTGCATTGCACACACTTCCTAAAAAAAATTAACGTATCCAGATAACCAGTGAGATGTGGAATTGGGTTTTCTCCCGGCAATTCATCCGATTCGTCGTTGGAGGAATATCACACTTCAGTCATTCTGCAGTTCATCTCCCAACCATTCTGTAAATATTTGACGGCTCGCTGCCCTCGCTCCCACATACAGTCGCGGTAACGGTCCCCGGTCAATGTGACCTGACCTGACCGGTGCGGTGTGTCGTCCCACCGCACCGACACGGCATCTGTCACCGGACACGGCTCTGTTTACACCCCGTACCCTCTGAGGCACCGTCGGGCCGCCCCATTCATGGTCAAGGTCAGGCCGAGGGCCAATCCGCGCGGGGCACCGCTACACGATAAACAGTGTGTCTGGAGGGCGGTACCGCTGGGACGGCTGCCATTGGTCCGCCGCCGCCCCCGCCGCCGCCCCCCCCCCCCCCCCCCCGCCGTGACACCCCGGGCTGTCCCGTGCAGCCCCGTGACGCCCGTGACAGCTCTGCGTGACGCAAGGCGTGAGTAACAGCCGGCTGTGGTTTCCGACTGCCGCACGGGCTGTACTGTATATTTTGCGTCAGCCAGCTGCCGATAAACTGCAATTGAGGGGCGTCGGTGTCGACCGTTGCTACCTCCGATGGGGGCGGTGCCGCAAATAAGAAACGGGAGACGGGATCGGATGACGGCATCTGTAAC